CTATTTCTGGACATTTTTTTAAAAGTTCGGTCTTTTTTTTTTAAAGTTCCATATCAGGCATGCTAGATTATTTTTTTTAACTAGATCTGTCTACGTCTAGCTTAAAAAAATAAATAAATAAACACTTAAAATGCCCGTAAACAGATTATTTAGCGCCAAAAAAAAAAGGCTGCTGAACGAGCATTTTTTTTAAATACGCAGCAATGAAAAAGGCTAACGGCCGATCAATTAAGTCTAAAAATCGCCCGTAATTAGGCCTAGCTCTGAAAAAGGCCACTGAACGAGCATCACTAATTATATAAACGAATAGGCCACGCAGCGTTGACGAGGTTAACCACCGGTCACGAATTAAATTCAATGCAGCTACTGTCGGCCCACAGTGAAGAAAAAATCAATATACTAATAAAATTACTAATACAATAATAATGTCCATAATTTTACTTTTTCCGCACATGCTACAATTGAATTATAATTAAAATACTAGACTTAACAGTTCATTCCGCAAAAAACAAAAACTAGTTGTTTCTGTCTGGCAACTAGCGTAACAATGACGCAACGTTACTAAAAATAGCAGAGAGAAATTGTCGCATGGTTACTTACGGGGTAATTGGATTTTTGGTAAAGATCATCCATAATACTGTAAATATACATGGTAAATATCTCAATTATATATTAATCTACTGTTATACGGGCCGTTTTCCCGGTTATACGGTCATTTTTGGCCGCGGTTCAGTTTATACGGAGAGTGCTCCACTAGAAATCCTCTCATTATTTACAACTACAAATCTAGCGATTTTTTCTGGCATTCTAAGGCATATTATCCATATTATTAGCATCTTGTGTTAAAATAATGATAAGAATTTGCGAGATTAACAGCTTTTTCATTTGTCGTGGATAGGACCCCTAAAATAAACGTAAAAACCGTCAGAAAAGGGTGTTGGGAAATTGCGAGACGCGAAAAGCGAAATGGCGAGGCGGGAAAATGCGAGAAGATAATGCGAGACATACCTGCGGAATCAAGGGTAAATAGCGAGACACTTTTTGCGAAAAAAAGTTTTTTTTCATGTTTTTTACATCTTTATTTATTGAAATTATTCTTTTTGTTTTAAAATAAACAAGCATGTAGCCATACCCTTTAACACGAGTGTTGTTTGTTGTTGTTTTTTATCGATTTTATGATATATATAGACAGATACTAAGAAGATAGATAGATCTATATCTAGATCTATCTATTAAAAATTCCTAACATCGTTGCTGTGCTACTGTCATCGCCCGCTCTCGTTAGCGAGAGCAAAAATCCCGTCTCAGTCGGCATTAATTTTAAAAATCTAGCCCGCTCATGTTTATACAAACGTGAATTGGTATAATCTTGTCAGCAGGAGAGATATTCTGCAACATGTATTTATGGATTGTTGTACTTGCAAAAAGTGTAAAAGTATAAACAATTCTAAAAAGTGTAATTTATTTTTTATTAAGTAATTTTAATTACAAACAAAATTTACAAACAAAATCTCAAACACACCTCGTCACACCATCTTTCACAGCATAGTACATCCAACCCAGTTCATTAGACACCTAATTATACTGTGCTAACACAGAACACGAATATGAACAGAATGGAAAAAAAAATGCGTCTGTAGATAATCTGAATAAAGTCCGCTGTCGACAAAACTACCATTTAATAGCTAAAAGTTGTCATCCATAAATGACGTCACACTTTTTGACGAATTTTACCCCCACAAAAATCCAACCCCCCCCCCCTCTCACCCAATAAAATGACGTCACACCTCAGCCTACAACCCCCCTCAAAATTGCAGTTGATTTCTTTTTTTTAAAAAACATCGATATTTTCCCAAAATCTTGTCTAATTTCTGTCAAAATAGAGTATTTTAATCAATTCCTATTACAATTTACTAAAACAGATTTCTAAAACGCGAAATAACGTCTAACATTGCTTTTTTATAGTGTGACGTCACAACATCTAAACCCCCCCCCTCATTTCTATGCAACAATACAAAATATGTTTGCGGCGGCAGCGGATTCGGCCACGGTGATCTTCAAAGACGGTAAATCAGGCGGCCTCGGTGTTCCACACAAAAGACAGAAGTTGATCTATCGTCGGCGGTATTTCCATCAGTTTCGAACAAGGTGGTATTCTAAGTCGACACAAAAGATGGGGGGGGGAATTCACAAATCATCAGTATGTCCAGCGGCGGAAAAATCGGAAGTTTTAACAATGTAAACTAAACGTCTTTGAAGTCTGGACCAAATAACACTAAAAATCGGGTGCTGTAAATTTTTCGCAGAAATCTTCGCATTTCAACACCACCCAGCGTAAGTATCGGCTTGTGGTAAAATGCGAGACAAAAAAGTCACGTGACCGACCGTTTTCGCGCCCTTCTCGCATTTTCCCGCCTCGCCATTTCGCTTTTCGCGTCTCGCAATTTCCCCACACCCGTCAGAAAACGACGCGTGACGTTTCAGGGTCAGAGGTCAATCCAGCCATCTAAGCAATGAGGCGGCCTAGTAGATAGGCCTAAAACAAATTTCAAATTAACAAACAACTAGGCCGCCTAACAACCAATTTTTTTTTTATTTTTAGGCCTACCTCTTCCATTTCCATGTAGGATCCTGCTCCTTCGGGAAACATTTCGTCTGCGACAATCGCAGCGGGTCTCATTTTACTAGCAATTTTGAAGCTGTGCTGTTTATTATTATTGATATAAAAAAGATAAGGCTAGGTCTAGTCTGGATCTATTCACCGCTCAAGCAAAATCAGTTAGTAGACTTCTCTCAATGTTTATAACCGGAAGTCTAAAGGTCTAAACCTGCTTTTTAGTGAAAGAGATTTACAACTACCAGAAAGACGTGTCTAACTCCCGATAAAACAAAACAAACAAAAAATACGAAGAAGAAGAAAAGATTTTAGAAAATAATGGATAATGGTCAGCATATCTTAAAATTATATATTTTTAAAATAATTAAAATAAATGTGAGGGTAATCCCTTAGTTTAGCGTCGGTTATTATTCCGGAATCGTATAGCAGTAAAAAACAGTAAAACAATGCCAAAGTCTGTCACACACTTCCGGAATTCACCGGAAGTACCGTAAACCATACTTTATTTGGCGTCTTCTTTTATTTTTATACAGAATGTTTAAAATTTGGATAGATTTATTTTTGTAATCATTTTTACATTTTGTAATCATTTTTACTATTTTCGTAATCTAGATTTTTTTACTTGGCCTAGCAGCTAGATATCTAGCTAGATCTAGATCTAATTAATTAGGCCTAATGGTCGCAAATCCGCTGCAAGCCAAAAACATTAAATTATTACATTTGATACATTATTTATATTTATATTAATATATGTTTTTATTTTTAGATCTACTAATTTAAATCTACTATTATATTTATTCTTGTTTCCTTTTGTCGATTAAACTTAAAAAAATAAAACATTAATTTACTACAATCGACTTTCAATTTATTATTATTTCAATGGTCAAATAAACCATGGTTTACCGTAACTCTAATTACCGAAACTCAACAAACATTACCCGATAATTTCCGACGCTAAACTAAGGGATTACCAATGTGAGAATCACACAATTTTAAAGAAAAGTTAAAAAGAGTTTTAAATAAATAAGTCAATGTCTCAGTCAGCGACGTAGGTAAGATAGGGTAATGGACACCAGCGAGAAAAGTCTCAAAGGTATTTGAGAGGTGTATAAATTCATTTAAAAATCATGCACAGCGTAGTTACAATAAATATGGTTATAAAATCCTGTCTATCTGGTTTTTTTCGGACTTTACTAAAGATTGGATGTATTTGATGTTTATAATATTTTCGGTAACTAAATAAAAATTTAAAAAAAAGCAAAAACAATTTGGTTTTCACGTGTAATGGCGACATAAACAATGGCATCCTGCTATTGGATAGGCCGCCATTGATTTTATTGTACACATTGTAAGCTAAAAATAGAAAACTAGTTCATGGGGTTTTAAATTTGCATTGTTATTTAAAAACTTGATCTGCAAAGTTTTGTAAACAAATAGTTATCGATCACTAAGTTACTGTACAGCCAATCAATATTTGTCTTACGAAAGGGAAACATCCGGTTATAACTTAGGCTTGATGAAAATAAATAGAAATGTAGCCTTAAACTCAACAAATTATTTTCAAGTTCTCTGGATTTGCAACTTTTATAGCATTTATTCTAAAAATATAAAATTTCTAAATTAATTTTAGGCTTAAGTTTTTATTTTTTATTTTTTTTTACGGTCTAAATCTAAAAAGCACGTTTTTACTCCATGTCAACAACATTGGGGACGGAATCTCGTCAACTCGCTCGCCTCCATTCTCAAGACTTTGTGCGTCAGTAAATGCGGAATAGGAAAAATGCGCAAACAGAAAAATGCGCTAATACAAACTAATTAGGCCTATACTAGTACACTTTAATTTTGTCTTATTTCTTTGAAATATGTTTTATTATGCTACAATGTACATTAAGTCACTCTTTGTTTATGTCACGAAATGCTCGATTTAAGAAAATAAAAATGCCCCTGCACACTTTTTTGTGTGTAGTTTTCCTACGGTCACCAGTTTTATTAGGCCTAATCATTAAACTTAAAATTTGAAACAAAAACCTGAATTTGTAGGTATCCACACCTAGATCTATATCCACCATTATTAATCCTAGAATCCTTATAAGCTACTATTAACAAATCTGCTGTGATTGGACATTTCAATGCATCACATAAATTTCAACGCCATTTGAAACTTATTGTAAGCCTATAAGTGGCATCAGCATTGAGTTGCATCATCTTTAAATAAGCAACTTAATTCTTCCATACTGTAACAATAGAATTTCTCACCCCGTGTCTGCCAGGTGACATTTAGTGAGCCCTGTTAAAAATTAAGATAACAAACATCGTCGTCATTTATCTTTTATATTTCATTTTAAGATGATCAAGATTAATTCCTTAGGCAGATATCCAAGCATCTATAATAATAATCGTAACACAAAGAGAGAGCTTATTGGTCATGAACAGAAATAAATAAAATAAAATATGTTTGTTTGACAGATTATTGTATTGTTCATATTATAAATATTTGAGAAGATTGTATAGACCTATTGATCATAAATGTACAAGCTCCTTATCTGCTAAAACATTTTGCTGTGAGATAAAGCACTAAAGAGAAATAGCAATGTAGTAAAGTGTTGCTTGAGAGGGTGAAAAAAAAAGAATCTGTTATAATGAGGGGATAATCTTATTATTATTGCAATATTTAGATCTGCAATATTTAGATCATGTACACTGTAAAAAAAACTTCACATTAAATAGTTTTTACAAACCACAAAAAGGATTTTTACAGATATTTTGATTTATCACTTCATTTACACACACTTTTATTCTTATTCATTTTAACAATTTAATTTAAATACGTTTTATAATGAAATATTTTGGCATTGAATGCAAGAAAAAATGCACATCAAAATCAAAACGTTTTTTTTTAAGTCACAACCATCAGTAAACATAAAAATTGTAGTTTTTTTTTTAAATTGAATGTGTTCTAATGTTTTGAATATATTCATACATTTAAAAAATAAATCTGAAAATTACATTCAAAACTGTTTAACTTGTGACTCCAGTTATATTATTTCTTACACTTGTGACTGTACTGTTCTTATCTGGCCATATTTGCAGCATCTATTGGTATGGGTGTCCCACTGATCGAAGATGCTGAATCGGAGCATAGAAATGCAATGAGTTCAGCTACTTCGGATATAGGAATCAGTCTACCCATGGGTGTACGTTTATCTGCAAACTCAGCCTGCAAGGGTCAAAAAACATTCTGTAATACATCTCTGCATTGATTTGGTTTCAATTTTGTAAAAAGATATTAAAAATCATAAAGATTTAATCAAACGATAATAATGAAAAATTGAAAATGCTATGGTCATTTAAACCATCGTATGCTGACTTACTTTGCTTTCCTCAACAGTCATACCAGTTTCTGATGCCAGCTTTTCAACTTGACTTAATCCCACTTTGGAAAAAAAAAATTGACAAAATTTAGTAAAATAATAAAAAAAAAAACATCTTGCTATTCTTAAAAATTTGTCACTAGACATATTTAGCTAGAATGAAACAGTGTATTTTGTGACTTAATGTAGAAAACCAGAGTAGTAAGGTTACATATAACTGTCCTGTATGTAACAATTATTAACAACATTTTTTGACACTATCAGGTTTAAAGTGTGCTAGCAATTTAGCTTTTTGTAATGCAGTGCTGTGTCAAAATAGCCAATGACAAAACATTTCCTATAAAAAGTTCTTGCTAAATCTTAATTATGACCAGAGACTTAGGCCTACACTTCTGTTCATCAAATTGTTTAGTGCCTAAAATGAAAAATTGTGTCCAAATTTTATTACATACTTGGTGCATCTACATATCCTGGGCAGACTGCATTACAGGTGACACCAAAGCGTGCTCCTTCAATGGCAACAACCTAGGAAAGATGTGACATCTAACTAATTTTAGGGGGACTGTGCAGCAAATAAATTAAATTTATTTTTGTTAATCTTAACATTGTATAGTAATGGTGGGATAAATATTGAAACAATATGTAGAAACGTTTAAACAAAGGGTAGCAGCATTGAAAATAAATATATAACTAATGATGATTACATTCTATAACATGGAGGTTATTCATTTTGTTACACAGTATGTTATATAGGATTTGGACATAAAAGACTAAGCTATTAAAAAAAATTATTTTAATTTCCTTTACACTAACGTTGTTTTAAGAATATTGTGATTCTCCCTAAAATGTGTGATACTAATTATTTATTTTAAGTTTGCTAAGTTTGCTCTCATATAGTATGGGCCACATCCCTAAAATTTAAAGTAAAATGTATAAACCTTCAAACGAAATTATTGGCCACATCCAATCTTACCCTGGAGAAACCAATAAGTCCAGCTTTTGAGGCACAATATGCAGATTTGCCAGGGTCAGCTATCAGCCCCATTTGAGATGCCATATTGATAACTCTTCCCCATCCTACATATGAAATAGGATACATCTGTAACTTTTCCCTTAGAACTTCCTTAAAAATTGTATAAAACAAAAACTTTCTACTTCACTTATCTGAGATTAGTTTAACTATTATATTTTCTAAAGTTTAAACCGCTGCATACAGATTAAGGTTCCTTAAGAAAGAAATATAAAATCTTAAAAGTTTGCAATATTGTTTTCAAAATCCAATGCAATTTAACTTTAAATAGCAATAACTGATTAAGTTGTAGTTGTATAGACTGTGGCTGGACCATAAATGCATACAGGTTAATAAAAAAGAATGATTATAAAGATAATGCTTAATGTTAATGTAATGATTACCTTTCTTCTTCATGCTTGGAAAAAATGCTCGGGTCAAAATAAAAGGAGCTGTAAGATTGACAGCTAATGTGTCAAGCCATACCTCTGTAGGAAAACTTTCTAAAAGGCCCCGCCCTGGCAAGCCTGAATAGATTGGAATAATAATAAAAAAGTTAGATCACATAATTTTTGTGACTCAAATATAAGAAGAAATTGTTTTTCAAAAAATGACAATGGTGATATAATATGCCTACATTGAAATGGTGTAACAAACTTGCTGTTGGAATGAGGGTCATAGCAAGGTAAAAAAAAAAGGGTTAAACCCTATGTGGTGAAATAAGTTTATTAAACAACTAACAGTTTTTTAATGCCCGGTGACATTTTTACAACTACCCTGTTATACAAAAATTATTAGTTTATTCCTATGTTGAATAAAAATCATGGACTATACATTAGGCAAAAATTCATGAAATTGTTAGGTTCATATCTGAAAACAAATTTTAAACCATTGCTACTAGTTACAATTGGTCTATTTCAAAAACAAAATGTAAAAAGTATAAAAACTCTTTTATAAGAAGTTAACATTATGCAAGTACCTGCATTGTTGACTAGTATATCAACACCATCAGGATAAGCATCAAGTACATCTTTAGCAAACTGTTCAGTTTTTGTTGTTTCAAGGAAATCTCCAGGGATAAATTTAAATTCACCGTTGTATTTTCTTGAATAGATAGTTTATAATAGGTTAACGTTTATTAAAACAAAACCTGTTGTTTTTTTTTTATTTATTTTTTAACATAGCTATGCATAATGTTTTGCAGATTTCATTCCAAAGTCTTTACTCTGTAATTATCATCAGAAAACTTTTTTATAATCATTTTACAGCAGAACATTAATTACTAAACACAACTTGTTTTGAAAATTATTTTCAAGTTCTTGGACAAGTGGTTGCCTACATCATAGGCATATATTCCTGGCAAGTGAAAATACTGAAACAGTTTTATATCACTGATTTAATTCTTTTTATCTGAGATCTAGTAATATTTCTGTTATTTCCTTTTAATGCTGAAAGGAAGAAATTTACTCAAGGTTATTAGGTTCAATATCATTCTTTTATAGCCTACTGCTTTTACAAAATATCAACATAATAGGTTTACAATAATAGGAAAGTACATGGGTCACAGTTAAATTTCAAAAGGCAAGGGTCAGTAAATTTTTGTGTATGGCTTACTATTCAGCATCATCTAGCATCAGTTCTACTGGTATATGGTTCACCACAAAAGGTTCTCCTGTGTTAAAAATCCTTCACAATTTAGCCAACCACTTCTATAACAAGAATTAATCATATGTTTAAGAATAATCAGCTTTTGTAGTTCTAATTTGTGATTTATGCACAGAGTAATACTATACAATTTTATGATAGGATTTCTACATAACTTACGAAGTAAACTCCTGCAGAAAGTCCTCAATCTTTGACTCCTCTATCAATCCCGTGAGAACCACTGAACAGCCTTTGCTAGCCAAACAATGGGCTATCCCTTTCCCAATACCAGTAGTAGAGCCAGTCACTAGTGCAACTTTTCCTTTCAAAGTTTCTGCCATTCTTGTAAATTAAGAGAAATACATTAATCTATTGCTTTTTAAATTAAATGTATAGAATAATTAAAATTAAAACACCTAAGCTATTCATAATACGGTAACTAATCTATTGTAATTTAATAGTCTAGGGCCTATTATAACATATATGTTCTTTTTACTTACTAACATTGATTTATTAAATTTACAATAAATTATTATATTGCAAGTTACTTTGTGACTATATGAAAATATATATATATAGGCCTATAACTATATATATATATATATGTATTATCATTATATACACACACATATATATATATATATATATATATATATATATATATATATATATATATATATATATATATATATATATATATATATATATATATAAATATATATATATATATTATATATATATATATATATATATATATATATTATATATATATATATATATATATATATATATACATATATATATATATATATATATATATATATATACACACACACATATAATAATATATTTAGTGATAGAGCAGCATATTTAATAATTAATAACTGGATATTAATTTAATTTACTACAGGGTTATAGAATTATAGACCTCAATCTTAGTTTATGCTTTTAAATCGTCATAAATTAAATAGGTTTTTCTATCTAATCGTGTCTTGCTTTTTAATTATTAATTAATGAATATAAATGCGAATCAAAGGTAGAAAAGTTAGACTACCGTGCACTAAAACACTGGGCCTACCCCACACTAAATCTAAGCTTGAGTTATTTTATTTTTTTAAATTATAGAATCTAGATCTAAATATAGGCTGGGCCTATATGCTACATTTTAAACTGACTCTTTGGCATTCGCGTATGCATTATCAAAGTGGATGCAAGTATTGCAAGAGGAGTCAGACTTTGTTCTAGCCTGCACTACAACCACTATCTATTTATTTATTACGTATCAGTTAAACTTTCCCTTGACCACTTATCCCAACGTCTTTTTCCAATCGTGATACTACTCACAAAAATACTTATACACAATACACTTGCCTTGTCTGCCAAACAACACAGTGAATCAATCAAACACACATCCAGTGAGTTAGTCAGTGTTTCTCCCAAACATTTTTTTTCTCTGGGGGGGGGGGGGGGGTCGGGCACAGGTAAAAGTATGTTTTTTACAAAAATTCCATTTTGTTCGGGGGGGGGGGGGGGGGGGTCAACTTTCTACGGTAGACAGAGATCCCTCCCCCCCCCCCCCCCCCCCACTGAACTGCCTGTGGAGTTAGGCCCGAACTAATTTTAAAGTAAACAAAAAAGAAATGGGGACCTATTTAGAATCTTAGGGTTACCGGTGTCCACTAAAGTAAGTGCTCTACAGATCGCTCCCATCTGTCGAGGTCAGAGATTGACAACAACGACTTGTAAAGAAACTTTTATCTTGAGACCTATTCTATTCTCCATGTGTCATGCGTTGGCTAGATCTATAAGACTTTGTAACCAGCAGTAGGCCTTTAGGCTACATTGGTAAAATTAATGGTAACATTGATACTAATGTAACTCATACTAAACGAAGTGGAATATCATAAAAATTAGAATTAAAAAGGACTAGACTAAATACATTTTCTTTTAATTTTAGATGCAGTGTTGCTTTAGGCTTTAGGGTCGTTCTTGAAAGACACAACGCTACTTTAGACGATCCCTTAATTCTTACAGTTACATGAAATCGTCACTAAAATCCAGGCCCCACAGAACTACTTCCCAATTTCTAGACCCAAGTTCAAAGATCAGAACCCTGTCATCACATTTATACCAGACTTCCTAGACAATATTGATGAGTTACGGTTGGGGGTCATCCTTAAATGACGTCACGCTTTTTTGACGATTTTTACCTCCCCCCTCCGTCACATGTCGTCACAAAAAACCAAACCCCTTCCCCTCCTAATTGCAGTTGATATATATATATATATATATATATATATATATATATATATATATATATATATATATATATATATATATATATATATATATATATATATATATATATATATATATATATATAATACAGATGTATGTAAAATTGTTTTCTCTATAATTATTTTATGTTATGTTGTCACACCCCCCCCCCCCCTAAATGGTGAACCCAGTGCGTTCTGCACCCCCGTCCCCGACTCGTGACGGATCTGCCTAGGGTGATATGGATAAATTATTTGGAGACAGACCTAAGGCAGCTGGGAGTGCATATGTTCAAGAAAGCAGACAATTCTGAGTAGAAAAAGTTTATGAACCCATCAGGTCTAGGAACTTCATAGGATGTAGAGCCACACTCGAAGAATTGGAAAGGTGAACACGAACGCATTTTTAAAAAGAACCCTATTGTAGGAATATTAGTTCTATTAGCATACGGCTATAAGGTTTAACCACGCATCTGAAGCCTACTATATATTTAAGTACTGTAGTAAAATATAAGTGTATTACCTGTTCCTTACTAAGCCTCGTTATCTTTGTCTTGTTTAAAACGTACAGTGACAGTCGGCAGATGTAAAGATAAGAAATAAAAAAAAAACACACAACAGTATCGTGTCTTTGAATAAATTAACAGCCAGGAATGCGTGGTGACGGTGAATCTAAAATCTAATGTTATTTTTTCTTCTATCCAGGGTAATTAGTGTTTATTAATCATGTCAGCCCCGAACTCTAAACTATCTGAGCATTTTTTTAAATAACCAAACAATAGGCTATTTGTTAAATATTGCAATCAATAAAATATTTTCCATTAGTGTTTATGAACCATGTCACACACGAACTTTGAACTATATGAACATTTAAACTATTTTTTTTTCAATAATAGCCTAAGTATACCTATTTAATAATGCAACAGTTGTCTTAGAGATTTTAAAAATAGAATAAATAGAATTGACTCTCACCAAAATGTTAATTCTTAGGTTATAAATAAAACTAACCTAACCAGTTATGAGTTTTACACATACGGCCTGCAGTGTTTCTTCCATTTCTTCCAGACTTTTTTCTCCAGGGCACTTGAAATTTTCGGGGGGGGGGGGGGGGGCAGTAGACTTTCTTCGATAGGGGGGGGGGCGCTTGCCCGCCCCCCCCCCCCCTAAGAGAGATGCCTGGAGAAAACTGACGGCCTGATGGGTAATAGTAATAGTATAGACCCTTAAAAAGTTTTTGTCATATAAAAGTTGTTAGCCTACATTTTATAACACTATGTTGTCAATCCCATAACTGCCACTAATACTTAATCACATATTCCCAGGAAAGGACTATTGTAACATATTTCTTTATTTTTGTATACATTCATAAAGTAAAAGAATCTTAAGTAAATGATCACTTCAATAGACCAACACCCGCCCAGTGTTTCTTCCAGACTTTTTTCTCCGGGGGGGGGGGGGGGGACACTGTTAAAAGTACATATTTTCTATATAAATTATATAAATTTCATTTCGTTCGGGGGGGGGGGGGGAGATGCCTGGAAGAAACTCTGCACCCGCCCCTCCTTTGATTACACGATGCTGCAGAAAATATGTTCTGTGTTTGAAAACAATACACATACATATTTGAAACGAAGTATTTTGCTATTTATAACATAAAAAATACAGGAAACTAGAAACAGTAACTTTTTTAACAACGAACCAAAAATATTTTTCTACAAAAAACTAACTTTTTTTTAACTAATCAGAACACGATAACAATCCTTATCTACACTTTGGAAAACATTCTTTTTCTTCCAAGAGGCCACAAGAGAAAGACATTCACATCTTTAGTATAAAGTGCTGAGGTGTTGCACACTACTATGGCTTTATGTCTCAGGTTTGGTGTTGTCGTCTGGTTGTTGTTGATCTTCACGTCTGCTGACGCTACTGATTTCGACAAGGTCAAGCAGTGGTTAGGCGTGGGTTACGACTTGGTCAAGGCTAATCCAGCGTACGGCAACGATGCCTCGCAAGGTAAGGGTTAGGGCCATAAATCGTGTTGTAAAATAGGATGGGTGTAGTTTATTTTCATTTGGCATTTTGATAAATATTAGCTTTGTTAAAAAAGGTGACTAAATCAATCACGAAAGTAACGAAGAAGCTTTAGCTGGAAGCTGAGTGGTACCGAATAAAGTGTACTTGATCTAGATTCAGTTATATTTGTTATGAATTGTAAAAAACTAGCAGTGAAATAAAAAAAAACGCAAAACAATGCGTGATTCCTCATATTAATAATATAGATGCTTGAAAAGTACTTTTTATATATTCTTATTTTAAAGTAGTTACTGATTCCATACATACATTATGTGGTTGTACTTTTCTTGCCAAGTCATCGGTATGATAATCGATTCACTTTATTTCGATTAACAAATAGTTACTTTTGTGTTTAGCATCAGACCCTGGGTTCCACCCCACTAGACGAATTTTACACTTAAGCAACCCGGTAGCGTCAGACTCCGCAAGTCCGGAAGTCGAGTGGGTGCCCAGGGCGACCTGCAGTAATGGAACCGTCGAGAAGACGATTTTCAGCGGGAAGAGCTATCAGCAGAAGTTACTGGAGTATGTCCACATTGATAGCCAAAGCGACGCTGATATTCTTAGTGTGGCTTTTGTTGAAAGCGACCGTAAGTAGTGATTTTTGTTGTTGCTGGAAGACAGTAAATAATGTACAAAATACTAACTGCGTTGGTTAAAATATAAATCGTCTTCACGGATGTGTAGGAACTATACGCTTGGAATTATAAATGATAAATGCCTGTGTTTGCCAGATGAGTAAATATTAGTAGGTTGAGTAATCAGATTATTACGTATAGTTTTTTTTATTTCTGAAATATAATCCGGGCTTACAAAAAGAATACCAGCGCATATTTGGTGTAAACAAAATTAAAACCATAAAATAAAACAATTTTTTAAGGGTCTGTCACATTTAACACATTTAGTCCCCTCTTATCTGTTATAATAACAAATGCATCGATTTTAAATGAGAACCTTACAAAAAAAGTCCTAGAATAATAGCATATTTATATTTTGTTTCTGATCGGTGGTGGTGTGTGTATCCAGGTATGTAAACGTGAGTATGCGTGTGCAACGTCGTTGCTAAATATGTGCTTAAAATACAGTATTTTAAAACTTCTGTTTCTGATCGAGTTTGGTGCGTGTATAGAGGTATGTAAGTATGTGCAAGTGTGTGCAATGGCGTCGCTGAATAATTTTCTGAATATGTGTTTAAAAATAAATTATTTTTAAACTGTGGTTATCCGAAAGTAACGTAGCACCAAATAATATATAACTCAAGATACGCTGTTTATCACACCCCCCCCCCCCCCCCGCCCCCGTACAGAATACAAACGAGTGGTCCGTGACACCGACGAGGCAGCGTCTAAGCTCATCCACGAGATCGACACCCAGTGCACCATGGGAACCGTCCGGTACAAGACGGAACTTCTGGCCACAACCTTGATTGACACAGCCTTCGCGCATGCGGTCTGCGCACTACCCACAACGTATGCATCGGGCCCTTACCTGGACTTTATTAAAAACTGGGGAACGGTGAGTCATTAATATCTGGACCTCATTAGGGGCTGGGGAACAGTGAGTCATTAATATCTGGACCTCATTAGGGAGTGGGGAACGGTGAGTCATTAATATCTGGACCTCATTAGGGGCTGGGGAACGGTGAGTCATTAATATCTGGACCTCATTAGGGAGTGGGGAAGGGTGAGTCATTAATATCTGGACCTCATTAGGGGCTGGGGAACGGTGAGTCATTAATATTTGAACCTCATTAGGGGCTGGGGAACGGTGAGTCATTAATATCTGGACCTCATTAGGGGCTGGGGAACGGAGAGTCATTAATACCTGGACCTCATTATGGGCTGGGGAAGGGTGAGTCAATTATACCTGGACCTCATTATGGGCTGGGGAAGGGTGAGTCATACCTGGACCTCATTAGGGGCTGGGGACGGTGAGTCATTAATATCTGGACCTCATTAGGGGCTGGGGACGGTGAGTCATTAATACCTGGACTTAATTAGAAAGTGAGAAATAGCTAGTCATTATAACTTGGTCTGTATTAGAAAGTGGGGAGCGGTGAGTTAATTATACTTAGACTTTATTCGAAATATTGGGCAACGGTGAATCATTAAGGGTTAATTTTAAAACTAAATCAAGAACTTTTAAATTTAATTTGGTATGGTAGTTTTAACTTGACTGAGGAATCTCGTTTGTTAAAAGCTCGACAATTTAAAATTTGATAGGTAAGCTGTTAGTTTTGTCTGGTGAATTTTGGATAGGCTGGTGAGAAATATGTTGGTAGGTTCGGCATGGGAATGCTTGGTTAATAGGTAGGTTTTCGACTGGGAGTATATTAAATGTGGCTAAGTTGGTCAACTGGAGATTTTGTAGGTCGGACAAATGAATACGATAAGCTGATAAGGTTACCTGAGCACTTAACCAAATGTTTGACACAAAATAGCTTTTTAAGTTAATAGCGTTCAATGCAATTATTATTCTTAGAGATGTTGTGGTGAAAGATTTTGTTTATTTAGACAGGCCACTACACACTAAAACACACACTACAGAAATCATGATTATTAATTAATTACTATTATTAATTAATTACATCGGTTTTCCCCTCAGCATGCTGCAGTAGGATTTAATTACGGATACGCTGAGGTACAACAGAAGGAAGGAAGTCGAAGGGACTTCATCGCTGCTCTCATCCACGCTGTAAGCTACTTATTGCTACTTATTGATGTAGTGTTTTGAAAGCCAACTTCATCACACTTGTAACTTTAAAAAAAAACGATGCTGACGATCATTACAAACCAGTCAAGTTTAGAAATTACTAAGTAGTTGTCTAACATTACATTAGTATCATGTTTAGAGCAACGCATGATCAATTTTTCCAAGTTTCCCTAACTTGAGTCAGGCACCCCCGAACGAGGTACAATCAGGGTGAGTGTACCCGGGATCCGAACTCGGGACTGTAGGGTCTTCAGGCATGTACTTAACCATCCAACCACACCGCCCCTTAGACTAAATAATAACATCGTTATATAACTACCGTTACGGCCTTTTAAATAGACTAATAGATTTTTTTGTACTCCAAAGCTAAGATTATTTTAATCAAGATCGGCGCAGTTATATTTAACTGTAGGCCTACAAACTTAAACCTGTTTTAACTTTTCGTGTTCAGCAGATTACATAGTGCAGTATCATATTGGTTATTTGTATTGAGAATATAATCTACACGACCAGTTCAGTGTCTGTGTCACCCCCCATATAAAAATAATTATATGCTAATTATATATATATATATATATATATATATATATATATATATATATATATATATATATATATATATATATATATATATATATATCATTATATGTAAGCCTACGAAGGCCTCAAGAGACATACGGTTGCAATTGGTGTCACATCCCTCCTGTGTTTTTTCTCCGAGGGTGGGGGGGGGGGGGCACTTGATATTTTGGGGGGGGGGGGGCGGATGCCAGTAAAAGTATAAGTTTACTAAATAAATTCTATCTCTTTCGGGGGGCGGTAGACTTCCATCGATGGGGGGGGGGGGGGGGGTTCGACCCCATCCCCCCGAAGAGATGACTGGAAGAAACTCTTCATCCCTCTCATTTTGCTTAATAGCGTTTATTTGTGCGAACATTAATCAATCCACCTTTTAATTCTTGTGGGGAAGGAAGCATCGTTTTCATAATTAAAATTATTAGATTTGGTGTCACCCCATCCCCGATCGTTGATTGACTTATCAGTTATCAAAAATAATCGACAATACCTTTTTCCCCACGTGATAGCCCTAAGTGTGCACATTTTATAGTAACGTCATTTATATGTCGGTTAATAATACAGCTTGATGATGCATTGGTTTCTCTATACTTAGCAAGTTCATATCATGGTGTCCTGACCCCCACCCCCTTTCGGGACCATCAATGTGTACTTAAAGAGGTTTTTAAACTCTAATTCATAATTAGTTACCCTTCAAAAAGAATTTTTCTTTTATATAATTTGCAATTTTCGCCTTGGTGTCACCCCCCTAAATGGTGTCATCCGGTGCGGCCAGCACCCCCGCCTCGCGACGCCTCTGGACCAGTTCTTTAACTACTTATAAAAATACCAGTAATTTTGAAATCCAGTCCGTTTGCAACTAAATAGTTTTATATTGCTTGTTTATAAGTGATTCCTCCTTCACCTATTGCTAAAGTCAAACATATCTCTAGAAATGAGCCCATGTACAGGTATATGCCTCAGGTGTATCACCAGTATCTCACAGCGCTAATAGGGCTTGTAAGTAGGTCACAACTTCTCTTTCTCGTACTTGCCAGCTAGTAGATTTCGAGACCGTAGACTTACAAGCCCTATTGGTTATCACCAACTGCTGATTTCTCGATCACCGTCTTCTCTCTCCACAGGACAGCTCACAAGTACAAAACACTGGACCCGTCAATAACTACACGGAATCGTTCACTGTAAAAACAGAGATCATTGCTTCATACAATGTTCAGCATCTACAGGTTAGAGCTTTCTTTTCTTTTTTTCTTTAATAATCTTTTTACGTGTGTTATCATCGCCAAACTTTCAACTAAATTTAGTGAAATTTTATGAATAATATGTTAAAATTTATTTTGTTCATCTATCACAGTAGTGTGTGAAAGGATAATCGCAATGAACTACATTTTATATTTAGGTATTTGTAGTAGGAGTGATTGGCATGTTTTACTTAGCCCAGTAATCTGTTAGGTTTATTTTCGGGAAATCGAAGTAGATGCAAAGTTATTCGCACTTTCAATAAAACACAATATTTCGAAAGACATGTTTTTGGATGATCTTTTTAAATGTTGTTATTTTACTCGAGGTGTTTGGAGAAGCTTCTGAAAGTTTTGTTATTTTACCTCTGACTTTCGGAATACCTCAAAGTTTTTGTTTTACTCATGAGGTTCGGAAAAACCATCTCAAAGGTTTTATTAGTTTACTTATAAAGATTGGAATACCACACAGATTTTGTTATTTGGCTCATTAATTTCGTAATACCTCAAAGTTTTTGTTATTTTACTCATTAAGTTCGGAAAACTTAAATTTTTTCTTGTATTAATCATGAAGTTCGGGGCAACTTCTCAAATTTTTGTTGTTTTACTCTTAAAGTTCGGGGAACCTTCTCAAATTTTTGTTGTTTTACTCTTAAAGTTCGGGGAACCTTCTCAAATTTTTGTTGTTTTACTCCTAAAGTTCGGGGAACCCTACCAAACTTTAAAGAGAGGAGACAGCCAAAACCCCGAGCCCATCGACGTGACGCTGCTGCCAATCAGTGAAGTTTTGACCAAGGTCCACTGGGAAACATCCGGCCTACCGTCCGACTGTCCGGCTAATTTGGCCACACTATTGCCACAGTATGCCGCTAATCTCAAGACAGCTACCACCGAATACGCTAAAACTTTTGTTGCTCCTTCTGCGGGTAAGTTAAACCAAATTATTTGAGTGTTTTCTTTAATAATAAATTAAATCTTTTTTTATCAATATTTTTTAATTTATAGTTTACATGATACATAATACACAAAACAAATATATTTTTGTGAATTAAAACTGGTCTTGTTCAAGAAGATTTAAGCAAAGCTATTTAATCAATTACAATTTTTTTAAAATTATAATTATATAATAATAATTTCATTGCTGTAGCACTGAAACGCTTTAATTTGTGTATAATACCTTGAGGCATACGTTTGATAAAAGAAATCCGCCATTTCAAACTCCGTGTTGACTTGTGTACATATCCAGCAAAATTCTGTTAAGTCCCATTTTGGTCAACCATCCAGTTTGATTACTTCAAGCCACTACTGTTTTAAGATCAAATTACCTACTTCATATTTCAAATGTTTTAAACAGCTTAGTGTTTCTTTCAGACTTATCTTTTCTCCGGAAGTGCACTTGAAACTAAACTTTGGAGCGTAGGAGGGAGGGAGGGGGGGGGGGGGGAGGTGTGTGGACACAATTTTCCGGGGGTGGGGTGGGGGTGGAAAAATTATATATGTTGATGAAAAATTCAATTTCGCTCAGGCGGTTGACCCCCCCCCCCCCTTCCCACAACCCCTAGAACAGATATCTAAAAGAAACAGCGTTTAAACTGTCTGGAAAAAAAAAAACAGCGTTTAACCTTCGAATTTCCTCTGTAACAGAACCAGCGACGTTCGTGACGCCCCTGTCATGGCCAGCCTCACAGTTTGGGCTGTTCAAGCCTCTGCTCGGCTGTTCCAGTGATGGCGTCTCCAAGTTTGAGAGCGGCGTTAGAGAGTTCTCTACTGAGACGACATTCAACAACAACAAGTGGTCTGCACCCTTACATTTGGCTGGTCAGTCTGTTGGGTACATGGGGGGTGACGTCATTACATTTGGCTGGTCAGTCTATACAGTAGATGGGCGGGGGGGGGGGGGGCGAGGAAGGGGGAATATTTGGCTGGTGAGTATGTTGGGTATATGTGGGTGGGGGGATTCGGCTGATGAGTCTGTTGGGTAGATGGAAGGGGGGGGGGCAATATGGACAACAATGCGTTTGTCTGTCGAGGTTGTTGGGTACATGGGGGGGGGGGGAGATGTACGTCATTCCATTTGGCTGGTGATAAAATTGTTAGATGCTGGTAGGGTGTGGGGATAGACGTCATTGCATTTGTCGAGTCGGTAGAATAGATGGGGGAGGGGGGGGGGGGAGGGATGAAAGTCATGTTGCATTTGTCGTTTGTCTGTGTCATAGTTAAGGTTACTACACGCTATTATTTTTACTGTCACCACCGCCGTCACTTTAAACTAGACCACAGATTTGTATCAAAGAAAGACATAATGTATGTATCACGGAATATTTAACACTATCTCATCATAACTTCAATTTTCTACATCTAACTTGAATGATGATGACCACTGACTAAGTATACTATTATACAATAGGAGAAGATTTCCAAATTTTGTTTTCTTTTTCTTTGTAGGCGAGTTTAACAAGAACAAAATGACAAACGAGTTTTGTGTTAAAGCTGCCAAGACTAACGCTTATGATTGGCCAAAAGGTTCCTACTGTATCCATAGATACAGTGGTGCTTGCCCTACAGGTAAGGGAATTAGTCCTGGAATTGGTTTTTGTGTGTTGTTACAGGTAGGTACTTTAGGACTGGAATTGGTTTTAATGTATTAGCCTGCTTAAATATTGATGCCCTCGGTTTAGCCGTTATATGTTCGTGTTAGGCTTATATTCAAATTGAGATCAGGGTTTTATGGTTGGGTAAATGTACTTAGTGTAGGGTAAGCTGTAACGTTAATCTAGAAGGCGTGTAGGGTTAAATATATTATAGAGGCCTATTTTTTTCTAAGTTTAAGTGAAAGCTTGGTGTAAAATTGTTACATGTTTTAATAATGGATGAGTGTAGATTATCTCTTTACTTTAGGTTTCAGAAAGGGTTACATGTAATTAATCTATTTTTCTTTCAAATTTCAGTGAGGGATAGGTTTAATATGTATATTTTCTGTGAGGGGTATAAAATATTTCTATTCCTGCCAGGGTTTACCGAGGGCTGGGTGTAAATTTACCGAGGGCTGGGTGTAAAATCTTTCTATTCCTGCCAGGATTTACCGTGAGCTGGGTGTAAAATATTTCTATTCCTGCCAGGATTTACCGAGGGCTGGGTGTAAAATCTTTCTATTCCTGCCAGGATTTACCGAGGGCTGGGTGTAAAATATTTCTATTCCTGCCAGGATTTACCGAGGGCTGGGTGTAAAATATTTCTATTCCTGCCAGGATTTACCGTAAGCTGGGTGTAAAATATTTCTATTCCTGCCAGGATTTACCGAGAGCTGGGTGTAAAATATTTCTATTCCTGCCAGGATTTACCGAGGGCTGGGTGTAAAATATTTCTATTCCTGCCAGGATTTACCGAGGGCTGGGTGTAAAATATTTCTATTCCTGCCAGGATTGACCGAGGACTGGGTGTACAATATTTCTATTCCTGCCAGGATTTACCGAGGGCTGGGTGTAAAATATTTCTATTCCTGCCAGGATTTACCGAGGGCTGGGTGTAAAATATTTCTATTCCTGCCAGGATTTACCGTGAGCTGGGTGTAAAATATTTCTATTCCTGCCAGGATTTACCGAGGGCTGGGTGTAAAATATTTCTATTCCTGCCAGGATTTACCGAGGGCTGGGTGTAAAATATTTCTATTCCTGCCAGGATTTACCGAGGGCTGGGTGTAAAATATTTCTATTCCTGCCAGGATTTACCGAGGGCTGGGTGTAAAATATTTCTATTCCTGCCAGGATTTAGTGAGGGCTGGGTGTAAAATATTTCTACTCCTGCCAGGATTTACCGAGGGCTGGGTGTAAAATATTTTTATTCCTGCCAGGATTTACCGAGGGCTGGGTGTAAAATATTTCTATTCCTGCCAGGATTCACCGAGGGCTGGGTGTAAAATATTTATATTTCTGCCAGGATTTACCGAGGGCTGGGTGTAAAATATTTCTATTCCTGCCAGGATTTACCGAGGGCTGGGTGAAGTGGGACGACGAGGACGGCTCAGACAATCACAACAACTTCGCCGGCACTGTACCTGACGGTGACTACACACACGACACACGGATGTTATTCTGTTGCAGGTAAACACACCGCCTGAGGTACACATCAGTATATCGCTACACACCTTCATACATAGCCGACCTATGTTATAGGTGTAATAGTCTCCTCAAGGATTTTAACAAGGGAGATGACTCAGTTATTACGACTTATATAAGGATTACACAAGGAGTTACGTTAACCTAGGGAAGCAGAGGCAATGCTTTTATTAAGGCCTGTAATATTTAATTACACCTACTTAATGTCGACGTACTCTGTTTTCTTGACTCATAATTATCTTACTTGGAAGTTGAGCTTTTCCAGAAATAGGGTAAAAGAGTGGGTGCTATGCAGATTGACGTATAAGCATATTTCCTTCATGAGCATAGGAAACAAAGGAAATGTAGATCTAAACCCCACTGTAAAAAATATATATACATGCACCGAAATGTAACATTCGCCTGTAAAAATTAGAAATGTATATAATTTAAAGACTACTTTTGAACCCTATTATGTTACTTCTTTAGCAACCGTATGTATATACGTTTTTTTAAACCAATGTTGCGTAAACTTCTGGAACTATTAATACACACATACGTTTCATTAAATAAATTACTCAGTTTGTATTTACTAGGAGCCCCTTTGTTATTCAAAGGGTACATTGTGCTTTTCAAAAGTTATGCCTTTATGCATGGTATATTATGTTTTATTTTTTGTGTGTCTAACAACAAAATCGTCATTTTGTATTTTAAAATTGTTACTAATTTCTTCTAATACTAATTTCATATCACTCTTTACCTTTTAGAATGGACGGGCCGTCAACATTTAAAATCCTACTCCCAAATCGATCACCGTTTTTCCTGCTCCGGTTTGGAGTAAGTATTCTTGATGTTGTAGCTGATGAAATGCATATTATTAATTACTAAAGCAAAATATAAAAACTTGCACTATACCAGGAGTTCGATAACGTTGCCAGATAAAGTATTAAAATTGTCAAACATTGTATATCTACCTCAAACGAAAGAGAACATTGTAAATGCTACCCATAGTTGCCTCCTAGGGGATTCAGTTTTCCTATACTATCAAGAACAAATTTGAACTGATTGTACATACAATCAGTGTTTCTTTCAGGCATCTTTTCTGAGGGGGTGGGGGTGTCATTAGGGGTAAGGTCACGAGGTCTATGATGACATGCTTGAACTATTATGAAGGCTAATGTCAAAGGTGAATAATGATATGCTTGTACTGTCATTAGGACAAATGTCAGGAGGTCTATTATGACATGCTTGTGTTGTCATTAGTTGAAATGTCGGAGGTCTATAATCACATGCTATAAATTTCATTAGGGCAAATGCCAGGAGGACTATAACGACATGCTTGTGTTGTCAATAGGGTAAATGTCAAGAGGTAAATGACATGCTTATACTGTCATTAGTGCAAATGCCATGAGGTGTTTAATGACATGTTTATACTGTCATTAGTACAAATGTCAAGAGGTGTATAATGACATGCTTATACTATCATTTGGGCAAATGTCAAGAGGTCTATAATAACATGCTTGTGTTGTCATCAGGGCAAATGTCAAGAGGTGTATTATGACATGCTTGTGTTGTCATCAGGGCAAATGTCAAGAGGTGTATGGCATGGATATCATAGAAGAGTGGGAGGAGTTTGACACTGAGGACACGTTCCATGACAACGCTGACGACCACCACGCCCCCTATCCTGATGATGGATCACTGAATAACATCAAGTTTATAGTAAGGTTTTAGGTTAGATGTATGGGAAGTGATCTGAATAACATCAAGTTTATAGTAAGGTGTTAGGTTAGATGTATGTGATGGACCACTGAATAACATCAAGTTTATAGTAAGGTGTTAGGTTAGATGTATGTGATGGACCACTGAATAACATCAAGTTTATAGTAAGGTTTTAGGTTAGATGTATGTGATGGACCACTGAATAACATCAAGTTTATAGTAAGGTTTTAGGTTAGATGTATGTGAAGTGTCATGAATAACATCAAGTTTATAGTAAGGTGTTAGGTTAGATGTATGTGATGGATCACTGAATAACATTAAGTTTATAGTAAGGTGTTAGGTTAGATGTATGTGATGGACCACTGAATAACATCAAGTTTATAGTAAGGTTTTAGGTTAGATGTATGTGAAGTGTCATGAATAACATCAAGTTTATAGTAAGGTTTAGGTTAGATGTATGTGATGGCTCACTGAATAACATCAAGTTTATAGTAAGGTTTTAGGTTAGATGTATGTGAAGTGTCATGAATAACATCAAGCTTATAGTAAGGTTTAGGTTAGATGTATGTGAAGTGTCATGAATAACATCAAGCTTATAGTAAGGTTTAGGTTAGATGGATGTGATGGACCACTGAATAACATCAAGTTTATAGTAATGTTTTAGGTTAGATGTATGTGATGGATCACTGAATAACATCAAGTTTATAGTAAGGTTTTAGGTTAGATGTATGTGATGGATCACTGAATAACATCAAGTTTATAGTAATGTTTTAGGTTGGATGTATGTGATGGATTACTGAATAACATCAAGTTTATACTAAGGTTTAGGTTAGGTGTAGGCTATATAAAGTGGGCTGAATAACATCAAGTTTATAGTAAGGTTTTAGGTTAGGTGTAGGCTATATAAAGTGGGCAGAATAACATCAAGTTTATAGTAAGGTTTTAGGTTAGGTGTAGGCTATATAAAGTGGGCTGAATAACATCAAGTTTATAGTAAGGTTTTAGGTTAGGTGTAGGCTATATAAAGTGGGCTGAATAAAAACAAGTTTATAGTAAGGTTTTAGGTTAGGTGTAGGCTATATAAAGTGGGCAGAATAACATCAAGTTTATAGTAAGGTTTTAGGTTAGGTGTAGGCTATATAAAGTGGGCTGAATAACATCAAGTTTATAGTAAGGTTTTAGGTTAGGTGTAGGCTATATAAAGTGGGCTGAATAAAAACAAGTTTATAGTAAGGTTTTAGGTTAGGTTTAGGCTATATAAAGTGGGCTGAATAACATCAAGTTTATAGTAAGGTTTAGGTTAGATGTATGTGATGGATCACTGAATAACATCAAGTTTATAGTAAGGTTTAGGTTAGATGGTTGTGATGGATCACTGAATAACATCAAGTTTATAGTAAGGTTTTAGGTTAGGTGTAGGCTATATAAAGTGGGCTGAATAACATCAAGTTTATAGTAAGGTTTTAGGTTAGGTGTAGGCTATATAAAGTGGGCTGAATAACATCAAGTTTATAGTAAGGTTTTAGGTTAGGTGTAGGCTATATAAAGTGGGCTGAATAACATCAAGTTTATAGTAAGGTTTTAGGTTAGGTGTAGGCTATATAAAGTGGGCTGAATAAAAACAAGTTTATAGTAAGGTTTTAGGTTAGGTGTAGGCTATATAAAGTGGGCAGAATAACATCAAGTTTATAGTAAGGTTTTAGGTTAGGTGTAGGCTATATAAAGTGGGCTGAATAACATCAAGTTTATAGTAAGGTTTTAGGTTAGGTGTAGGCTATATAAAGTGGGCTGAATAAAAACAAGTTTATAGTAAGGTTTTAGGTTAGGTTTAGGCTATATAAAGTGGGCTGAATAACATCAAGTTTATAGTAAGGTTTAGGTTAGATGTATGTGATGGATCACTGAATAACATCAAGTTTATAGTAAGGTTTAGGTTAGATGGTTGTGATGGATCACTGAATAACATCAAGTTTATAGTAAGGTTTAGGTTAGATGTATGTGATGGATCTCTGAATAACATCAAGTTTATACTAAGGTTTAGGTTAGATGTATGTGATGGATCACTGAATAACATCAAGTTTATAGTAAGGTTTAGGTTAGATGGATGTGATGGATCACTGAATAACATCAAGTTTATAGTAAGGTTTTAGGTTAGATGGATGTGATGGATCACTGAATAACATTAAGTTTATAGTAAGGTTTAGGTTAGATGGATGTGATGGATCACTGAATAACATCAAGTTTATAGTAAGGTTTTAGGTTAGATGTATGTGATGGATCACTGAATAACATCAAGTTTATAGTAAGGTTTAGGTTAGATGTGTGTGATGGATCACTGAATAACATCAAGTTTATAGTAAGGTTTTAGGTTAGATGTATGTGATGGATCACTGAATAACATCAGGTTTGTGGTAAGGTTTTGGTTAGATGTATGTGAAGTCGCCTAATCCTTAAAGTAAGGTTTTAGGTTAGATGTATTTGAAATCTTTAGTTAAGTATTCTATGGCATGAAAGGTAAAACGCTGAAATATCCCAAATTCTAAATACTTTACTTATAAAGGTAAAACAATTAAATATTCAATATTTTAAAAACTTTACTTGTAAAGGTAAAACAATTAAACATTCTATATTTTAAAAACAATAAAATATTCTACGACCAAAAATCTTTACCCGTAAAGATAAATACAATGAAATATTCTATATCCAGAAATCTTTAAAGATAATACAATGAAAAATTCTATGCCTTGAAATCTTTGCTTAAGTAACAATTTGAGTCGTGGTTTGTCAAGATTTCTTTATTTTCTTTTTCTTAGCTGTGTTACTACCAACCCAGCAGCAATATGCCAACCCCTAGCTCCGTGGTTGGTTAAAGTAAATAGACGTCTTTGCTCAACCTGACACTCTCTTAATCCACACACACAGAGATTATGGTTTGGATCAGGGATGTAACTGTATATCAGATGTCAACATTTTATTGAGATCTAAAGTGGACTGGTTTATTTATTTTATTAGCGGTTCCCCTACTTGGAGGCGCTTCATGATTATTGCTAAAATCGTTTTTGGAAAAATAAAACTTTAAACCTGAATACTTATTTAATTGTCGTTTATTATGTTCGCTACATGCTTATGAAGTAAAAAAGTAAGGATTCCTGTTAAGACCTAACGATCCATTGGGCAGATGAAGTGGAGTTCATGTTTCTTGACCTCGGCATATAAAGGAATAATGTGGTCAGCACTACGCTCAGCAGCCTAACGTGAGTTAGGTACCCATCTGAGTTTGGTGGACTTTCCACTAATTTGAACCTTGATTCGAACTCGAATCTATCGGGTTAGCAGTCTAGCACTCCACCGCTGCGCCACGCCGTCCCATTATACATGTTTATGATTACAATAAAATGAAAGAGAGGCGCCAATCGTCGTTTAAATTATTCTTGAGGAGCATATCAACAAACATTTATAAAATGCCGTTTAACATGTGTGTTTCTTTGTTTTGCTTTGTATTATTACAATATCCAACTTTATCGAATCTGAGTTTTAATGGTGAGAGAAATTCAGTTCAGCGCAAGAAAAAACATTTTTGAAGAAAAAAAACGATAAAATAAGTTGGTTAAGAAATAAAAAAAATCGCTGACTATTTAAAAATAAATACTGGAATGGAACTTGATAACACTAGTGCAGTGGCGTAGCTAGGGGAGAGCGGGTGGAGGGGGGGGGGGGCGCAAAAGGGGTTGAGAAATGAATTTAAAACCTCATTTTAAGCTGAAGTATTAAATTACACACAGTCGAAAAATAAACTACTACACGGCTTTACACACTGATTTAACAATTTTTTGGCACCAAAATAAAAAAAAGATTACGGGCTATTAACTGGAAGAAGCGCCACAATCCATTCCTAATGGTGTGTGTGTGTGTGGGGGGGGGGGGGGGGTTAGTCTTTTTATCTCCCTACCACACCATTTAAAAAGATGTGGGCATCTCAAACTGACTTGAATGAACAGGAAATAGCCTAGACCGCTGTATTGACTTTTGAGGTTGTTTAAGTAAACAGTAAAATATACACAGGGAACACGAGCTGTATTTTTTATAGATAAAGATAAAAAAATGGAAAACCATTTTTGCTAAAACAGACTGGTTTTACGCAACAAATATAATTTACGAATTTCCTAGAATTAATATACTTTTTAATATATACCAATGTGTATTACTTTTATAAAGAACAAAGAGAACGCACACATTAAGCGGTGATTGTTTTGAACGTGGGTGTTGTTTGATAAGTTGAACGCCCTAGTATTAAACACATTTTGTAGGTTTCTGATTTTATTTTCGCCTTTGGATGCAGGAAATCAATCGGCGAGATCAAATTGGTATAGATCGACACATTAAAAAATATGTAGGCCTAATAGTCTGTGTATTGTGGATCTTTAGTAATGTTTCATTAAATGCACAGCGTTATGATTTATTTACAAAGCTAGATGTTATAGAAACAGAAAAGCTCTTATTATCAGTTTATTTCGATCCGAGTAGCAACGAAAAAGCCTTGTTACTGTATTGTACTTTGTTCCCAAAGTCTATGCGTTTTTTATCACAATTTCCAACACATGTGTCATTTGTTATAACAAAGCCCGAATATTTATTTTTTGGTAATTTTTTAAATTGAATTTAGTAATTTAAATCACTAAATGCAATAACAAAAGGGAAATAGTTTGTTAGCAATCCAGCTGAACATAACTAAAAGGTGGATAATACGTGATTTGAATAAAAATCTCGCAAGTTACTTTACAGTTTAAAGAAAAATAATGTAAATCACGAATGTTTGTGATAATAAAAGATTTAAAAAAATGAAACCAGAAATACAATTTTAATCCGTGAGTCGTGATGAAAAGGTTTTGACTTCGTGTCATGTAGAAATTTCTTCCTCATCCTTTCCTCTGTAGCATCTGAAAGTACTATATTTAGAAATAGGTGATTTCCACCACATTTTCAAGTAGGTACTAAATTACTTCATTGAAAATGAAGAATGACTTAGTTTTCTAACTTACCTAAAATCACAAGCAACATTGTGAACTTAATTTCACCAACGGAATGACAAAATTATAGTAATCAACTATAATTTGAAAGTAGAAGGTGATTTCTCATTTACACACAAGGTAGGATTATAGTAAAACTATTTCCAATATCTAGGCTTAATTAATTTTAACATTTTGCCATAATCAACAATTTTTAATTAATAAAATTTAATAAAATCCTTGAAATCGGACTCGATTTAGTTACTTATATAAGTATAATATTAAAACTTCTTTTCAAAAGCCGTGTTGTATTTACATTAGTCTCGTTAAATTTAAGATATTTTAAGATTTAATGGTCACAAATACACCATTTCGTGTTGCATTCGTGTTTTCATTAAGCTTCATTTTATTGAAAATACATCAATATTTCTACAGGAGATCTAAAAATTTAGAGAACATGACTAAAACAGGATTTAGTACCTATATCAGTTTACTAATCTTCTTATTGGTGCTAACCAAACGATCGCAGCCTTCTCCCACCAATCGTACAGTAAACTACCCCCCACCACACCCCCTACAATTTTTCAAGTCGAATCCCTCCTCCAACCACCTCTCCAACTGTTCCTTTGATCTAGGCACCAACCTCTGCGATTGCTCAAGTCTCGGCTACACCGCAGTACCACAACTGTACAACTGTCTCACGCTGGATGTATCCAATAATTCCATCTCCACCATCACCAGCACCGCCTTCATCTTCATGAAAAATTTGGAAATCTTAAACCTCAGCAACAACAAAATTTCCGTATTACAAGTTTGGTTTTTTAACGATCTTACCAACTTAAAGCATCTAAGTCTAAGAAAAAATACATTAACAATGAATTCAACTAATTTCCCTAACGGTGTTTTTAAAGATCTGGTGTCATTAATCTCTTTGGAGATTAACGAGAACAATCACAACCTTGACAGCGATGATTTAATGTATCCCGTTGATGCTTTATCTGATCTTAAAAGTCTTGAATCTCTAAAGATGGATGGTCTTAAGAACAAAGATTTTGGAGATTTCACACCATTGACAGAACTACGGGTCTTATCCCTTGGCTCCGGGTCTAAAGAATTTTGTCATTTAGGAGAAATTGACGACACAACTTTTCAGTACTTAGGAATGTTGCGATTCCTAAACATAAGCAACTGCGGAATTCACGGAAACAGACTCAGCCCCAGTACATTTTCAATGTTTGAAAATCTGGAAACTCTTGATATTTCAAACAACGAAGAACTGTATGTCAAGCGTCTGTGTTCAGCTATAACAAATGACACGACTAGAAATTTAAAACGGCTGTACGCGAATTATATTAACCCCAGATATTCAATCGGCGTGGCACTGAGTAGAAACACTATCGAGGATTTACCATGGTCTTTAGAGGCGATAGAAGCCAGAGGTAACAGCTTTGAGTCTGTGAGTGCTGATATTTTTGAAGCGATGCCTCCGATGTTATCTTATCTAGATTTAAGTGAAAACAGGTTTATTTTCGACGCGTATCTCAAAAATATTTCTTTGATGGAAAATCTTGAAACGTTGATTGTAGATGGAGGAGATGTTGTGCATGACTTCCCCATACATTACCATAAAACCGACAATTTCGCTGATAAAATTGTCAAGCCCATATCAAAAAGATTTCAACAAAACGAGATTAAAAATGAGAATGATATAACTTTCATTCTTCCAAAAAAGTTAAAAGTTTTAAGTCTGAACAATGCAAATCTAAACTATATACTAAAACAAATACAACTTGACCCCAGGAATGATTTGAGAGAGCTCCACCTCAACGGTAACAATTTCCCTCAATTAAGTGGCCCTCTAACTGGCCTACAGAACCTTAGAAAACTATTTATCCGGGGTTCCAGAGTTCAAAGAATTCATAGAGCATTTTTCCAAAATCTAAAATCATTGACAACTTTAGATTTGAGCATGAACAATATCGGATTTTCTCTTTCAGAAGAAGAACAGCCCGCTATTTTCCAAGATTTGAACAATTTGTTACTTCTAAACTTAAGTTAAAATTCGATAGAACACACACGTTTTCACGAGCATGTTTTTAACGGCTTGGAAAAACTTCAGGAATTACATCTGCAGTCGAATCGATTATGGGAATTTAAAACCGATATTCGGAAAATGATCCACCTGAAGGTGTTAAATCTTTCCGATACTTCTATGGTCAGGCTTAGTCGTGAGGTTCAAAACAGCCTAGACATGTTGAAAAAGGAATACAATTCGACAGTAACGTTGGACCTGTCTAGAAATCTTTTTGAATGTGTCTGCGATAATCTAGATTTTATCGAATGGTTAGTGCAAAACTTCGGATCAAAAGATTCATTGGAATCGCAGACCTACTTCTGCGAGTATCCAGATACATCAGAGGTCAAGACTATCACAGACGGCTACCAAGAAGTAATTCGAATCATGATGGGCGAATGCCGGCCAAAGACGACTCTGTTTCTCATAACAACAGCAGGGTCTATGCTAGTGCTGTTTGTGATTGTGGGTGCTGTCTTATACAGGTTCAGATGGAAGCTGAAGTATCTCTACTACGTGGCGTATCTAACTTTTAGAGGAAAGGTTACAGTACAGAAGACAACAGAGTTTTCTTACGATGTGTTTGTGTCCTATTCCTTCTCTGATGAAGACTTTGTTCTACAAACACTGGCAGTAGGTGGGTATATTGCTAGAACTTCACTCCAGATGAGTTATAAAGGTTTTATTTTTCCATGCTTTTAAAAACTATTAAGGTATTGTTATTATTATTTAATGCCAAGTATATTTCAATAATTTAATTAAACCATTGAGCAATACTCACTTAACATGTGGTCAGTATTTATATTATATATTATATTATATATTTATATTAGCCTATATATTTATATTATATACTTATATTATATATTTATATTATATTAATATAGTTCCTTTTGGAGTTAAACTTCAACTATACTTATAACACGCATTATTTTAGCTAAAGTATCAAGACGTTTTAAACAATACAAGTTAGTTATTCTAAACCGAAACATTCTGAGAAATGTGTAATAATCAGCTACTACTTTAAAAACTCAACGCTTTACATTGAAAATAAATATTCCCTTTATATACTTGTACACTGACGGGCAAAAGTGCTAGTATTATAGATGTTTAGATAGGCCTACATAATGTATGTTTACTGTTTAACTATAACCAGAGCTGGGGTGCCGAGGATTGAAGCTACATGTGCACGGACGGGACTTTAAGGCAGGAGATTTCATCGCCTCCAACATCGTGCGTGCCATCAAGGAGAGCAACAAGACATTGGTGGTACTCACGAGAAGTTTACTGGCCAGCACATGGTGCAACTATGAGCTACAGGTGAGAGCAGGAGCTGACGACTATGTGGTGGGGGTTAGGTATACATGAGTCGATTTGTAACAAGTTAGTATTGTGATACAATCGACATTTTGTGGTAGTGGGGATGTAGAGTAAAAGCTATCCAAACCTGACGGTCTAGGGGCAAGTAAAATAAAGTGCATCTGTACTATAACTTCCTCGAATAGCATTATGCCCAGAGTGCAGATGTGGGTAGGCCTCATTTTATTTAACTGCAAGACGCATAGTCTTAGTCAAACATTTTATTCTTCTGTCTTGAACTTTGTGAACAGCAACTGATATCGAGTGATTTTTTTTACACAAGTAAAAGGAAGTTTAACTAAATAAAACGGCAGGTGTGGTGCATCGCTTCCTGGAAAAAAAGAAATTCGACATTTGTTTACTTAAAAAAAAATATTCGCGGAAAATTCGTTCGCTTGTCAAATATTTATTCAAACTCATTTTTCTTTCAATTAGAAACTATGCGGCATGATTTTTAAGTTTACATCTGTAAACTATTTTCTAGAAAAATTAAACTGTATTAAAATAATTGAATGTTATATCTTTTTAATAGTTAATATCATGGACGAGTGTTCAGCATCAAATCAGCTAATATACTTATTTCTAAACGTAATGTTATAATATGCAGCATAGAGTTATAACTTAAAGAAATAAGCCTAGCAATAATTTAAAAAACGGCCGAAAAATTTCCTGCCGTTGCCATGGTGAAAAAAATCCAAGACGACCATCATCACCATGACAACGGCAGGAAATTATTCGGCCATTTTTTATTTTTAAGATTTAACTCTTTGAGTTATACCTAATGCTTAATATTATAACATTATGTTTAGAAATAACAATTTTGGCTTATTTGATACTGATCACCTGCGTCCCATTACAACGTTTTTGATGTTTCAGATGGCAAACATGGAGTCTGCTTACACAGGGCGTCAAGTTCTGGTCTTCTTGTTGAAGGATCAGATTCCCATCAAACAGTTGGGTAGAGATGTCCTCTGTTACGTCCGCACCAACACGTACATAAGTTATCCGAGAGGTTCGGCTACAGGAGATGTGGATCATATGGCAGTCTTCTGGGATAAGTTGGCCGACGATCTCAAGCAGTAGAGGCTTGAATGCAAAAACAGTCACGAATTAAAAAAATAAACCGGGAGTGATCTCCCCTAAACTTTCTCGAATATTCTTATATAAAATAACAGGGGATGGGAACTCGGGCTATAGACATGATTTTTAATCCATTTTAAATACTTAAAGTTTTAAAAATAGAATAAAATCTCGTAGACAAATTAATTGCACACCAAGTGAACGCCAAATAAAAAAGCGCATAATAGTGCGCAATATTATTAGTACTTCTAAAATTTACATTAGTTTTTTGAGAAATCGAAAGTAGCGTAAATTACTACTTCCAGTCAACGGAAATTACTCAAAATTTAACAGAAGATAGAGAATTAGATTTTTTACTTACATGTGAAATTTCATGTATCTATCTGAAATAGTACTCAAGTTATAGGCTTTTGAAAAATTCAAAGTAGGAAAAGTACCAATTCCGGTTATCGAAAATCGCTCAAAAGTTGATACGGATCTACGATTTTGATAAAATACTTATATATGAAATTTCATCAACCTAGCTGTAACGGTACTCAAGTAATCGTGTTTACACACAGACACACAGACACACACACACACAGACATACGGACAAGATTGCAAAATTATGTTTTTCCGTATCAGTGAGGTGTAAAACGTCGAGATTTGTAAAAATCTCGATTTTTTTTTTGCACGATTACAATACTTTCTCTATACTTCGTATATACGAGAAAGTAAAAAACACTACTTAACTATCAACTAGATGAATTCGTTATAGTACGTTTTCAATAGATCTAATTTTAGCAAGAGGTAACAGTACAACAGCTGTCTCCTTAAAGTTTTCAAATTTTACGCTATAAGCCGAGATTTTTATATTACGTCATCCTCAGCACATTTTCAATAGATCTAATTTTAACAAGAGATAACAGTACACCAGTCGTTTCCTCAAAGTTTTCACATTTTTACGACATAAGTCGAGGTTTTATACTAGGTCATCCTCAGTACATTTTCAATAGATCTAATTTTAACAAGAGATAACAGTACAAAAGTCGTCTCCTCAAAGTTTTCACATTTTTACGACATAAGTCGAGGTTTTATACTAGGTCATCCTCAGTACATTTTCAATAGATCTAATTTTGACAACACATAACACAACAGCCCTCTCCTCAAAGTTTTCACATTTTTACGATATAAGTCGAGATTTTATATTACGTCATCCTCAAACCTAGAGGTGCTAAACTGATCAAATTGTATTTTCATCAGCCGAAAACGTACATGTATCATTTGTTTCACTGCACTTTAAAAAAAATCAGTTTCATCTTATATTTTTTTATATATGATGTTTGCTATAAATTATAACATTAAATACACAAACAGTAATATATTGCAATGTTTCTTCCAGGCATATCTTCGGTGGGTCAGAGCAAACTCCCCCCCCCTCCAAGAAAGTCTACCCCCCCCCCACGACGTAATGGAATTTATATAGAACATAGACACTTTTAACAATGTCCCTCCCCCCCCCACCGTTGGACGTTTTAGTCCCACCCCCCCCGAAATTTTCAAGTGCCCCCCCCCCCCCCCCCCCCATCGTAGACAAAAGTCTGGAAGAAACACTGATATGTTGTTTCTAGAATATTATTATATATTTACGATTAGATTCATACACAATTATAAGACTAACACTGATTATAATATATTTTTAAAAAATGAATATAATATAAAATAATAAACGAATAGTATTAATTAAATACGATATCTAATTTTGTTTATATAGTGTGTTTAAACTATGAGATTTTATTCATTTAATTCATTGAAATATTTATTAACAAATTTGAACTAATAATCATTATGAAACTTAAAATAAGAGTATATCGTCAGTGATGAATGTTTAGTTTATGTGTCAAAATATTAGACATAAATAAAAAAAAAATTATTTACTCAGTTCTGAATACATTGATTCAAATATGTGTATGTCGTATTTCTGTTCACAAGTGTGATAATAGTAATAGAAGGTTCAAGGGTAGTAACTGTGGAAAGTATTTACAAGATATTAAATTGAATTGTCTCCTATAAATTAAGAACAACGAACTATTTAAATCTAAGCAGGTGTTCTCTTTTATGCTTCGCGGAACACTAAAGCCGTCTTGAACCAACATTAACGTTTGTAGGCCAAAGTTTTTTGTTTTTTTTTAAATAAAATTTTGAAAACACCTAAGTGGCTCAAGGTTACAGTGACACTACACTCTAACTGTGTATCCCCGTGTTAGGGAGTTTAAAAAAAATAACCAAACGGAGTTTTAAAGGTCACGTAAATACCATGTCTTGTTTTGTTTTGTATTGTTTTGTTTGTACTACTTGTTTAAAAACAATTACACTGGCTTTCTTGTTCATAATGTTGATGGATGGTTGCGTTTAGCTGATGTGTACCTTTGGTGTTGGAATAGTGATCTTAAGCTGGTAGTTTATTACTGGCTTTATAACGCAATGTAGAGACAACACTACGGAGCATTAGTCGTTTAGGAATTAAAAAATAGATTAGCTATAATAGCGGGACTCAAAAACGAAAATTTACAAGGGCAACTTATCTCCTTGACCCTAATCTGCACTGTGTTTGATATGTTACCACTTAGACAAGTTGTCTCCCCTTAAAAAAAGTTAAGTACGTCTAACACACTGGGACTGGGCAAGGTAAAATCAGACCCACACAGGCTAAACAACAAGTAATTTGGTTGGTGTTGTGATTGTGCAACACTTGTATTGTAGAGCTACACAGTTGACATATAACCCGCGGCTCATACTTAAGGCGTGTACGCTGTAGCTATCTTTCTTTACATAGCAGATTGTCAAGAATACTGACACACGTAGAGTATCCGTTTTGACTTGAGCGCATCTAAAGACAGATGAAGTAGAGTTTATCTAAATCCATGACATACACATTTAAGGGTATTGTGTGGAAAATGCTAATCCAACTGAATCTAGCGTATCTATTAAAGATATATCTATCAAACTCAATGTTCAGTATTTACGTTATGGTTAGGCTGTACGTTAATTTTGGTAAAAGTTTAAAATGTAAGCATTAAAACGACAGTACGCTTACAATATTTGAACAAGGTCGTGATCAATTCTCACGGTAGAACAACGAAACAACTATCTCTCATATGACCTACTAAAGTAACTAAACAAAAGCTATTTATAATTCAAAACTTCATGCAGTTTCGGTTTCTCTGACTCATTTAGTGTGGCAGATATGAATTTTCCTAGAAAATCCTAGATATTTTTAAATGTTTTTTTTATAGTTCTTTTGTTAAACACATATACACATTGACACAATTAATGGATTAAAAAGTTCAGTGTGCTGGTATGTGTGTGTCGATAGTGTGTTGCTGTTTTACTTCAGACTGATATAATAAAACACAGGTAGGCTCTTATACATAACAAACGTTTTTTTATACAACTCAATGTTTTGTTTGAGTTAAGAAGTATAGATATTTTTTTTGTTGTTTTCATTGTCAAATAGTGCTGTGCTTGTCTTATATTTTGAATTAGGCGTAGAGAAAACATGATTGTGTTGTTAAAAATACCTCTCCTATTGCTTGGAGATCAGTGTTTCTTCCAGACTTTTTTTCTCCGGGGGGGCACTTGAAATCTTCGGGGGGGGGGGGCGGTAAACTTTCTTCGGGGGGGGGGGGGGCGGACTATGTTAAAAGTATATATTTTCTATATAAATTATATAAATTTCATTTCGTTTGGGGGGGGGCGGTAAAAATTTTTCGGGGGGGCTTTGCCCCCCCCCCCCCGAAGAGATGCCTGGAAGAAACTCTGTTGGAGATGTGTTATTGTCAGTTTGAGATAGTAAAACATTGGAGGCTAAACCATTATTTCTGAATCGGTGGTGTAGTGTTTGGGTGATAACTTCAGCTTCAACTGATTAGGGTCTGTTTTGACTAAAGATAGCAGGCATGTGCTGATACAGGGTTTTTTTTGCCGTTTATAATATCTAAGTGCCTTTGACAATGTGCTTGTGTGTGTGTGTGTGTGTGTGTGTGTGTGTGTGTGTGTGTGTGATACAGAGAAAGAATGAGAGAGGGAGGGAAGTTAACTAAACGTACACTCCCCTGTTAAGGGGTGCCAATAAGCCTACATAAATGCAAATCACTGCAATAAACCGATTATTATATTGTGTTTACGTGTATTTAACAACGCAAAAAAACAATTTTATATATCCTTGACTTATTTGACTTTGATTTAGTCCTTTTTGCTCCTTATGGAACATAGGGCCTCCACCATTTTCTTAAATTTCGTCCGATCCCCGGCTATTAATTTTGCCGCCCCCCCCCCCCCCCCCCCCACCTCAAGACATCCCTGTTGGCTTCAGTTGATCCTTATATACTTTTCCTAAAAAAATAATAACGGATCATATTTTGGTTTTAAATGATGTTTTTTAAGTGAAGGGATAAGAGTGGTATTTCCTAGAATTGATATGTAACAAGAAGTGCAGTGGAATATATACAAGTGAGAATGATATGTCATAATATGAAGTGTAGAGGTATAAACACAGTATACAGTTACTCAAATAACTTTGGAAACTCTCCACGCTGTCAAGTTTACATTACATGTTATTTACACGATCCTGACGAAAGTCTTCTAGAATCGTTGTGACGTGTCTTACTTACACTGATTTGCGAAGATGTGTCACTCTCTAGTTAACAGCAGTGTCTCTTTCAGTCCTTCTTTTAAGGTGGGGGGGGAGGCTGTGGAAATTTTCGGGGCGGCGGACTACATTTTCTGGGTGGGGGGGGGGGGGGCGGGAGAGCGGACATTAGTAAAGGTATATATTTTGTATATAAATTATATTTCTTTCGGAGGGGGTGCGGGGGGGGGAGGTTAGACATTCAGTTGGATCCCCCCCCCCCCGATGATATGCCTGAAAGAAACTCTAATTAGCAGACGTACGCACTCACGCACTTTACAGAAATGTCGTCGTGTCCTGTCGAAAATAAAAATCCCATCTCCAGAAATTGAAATTGAAAATAGTCTATTTTAGACAACACAGTCAACAATATCCACCAATAAGAAGACGACCTTGAACTACCACGTGACGTCAGTCATTAGTGACACACCGTGACCTTGGCATAGGGAAGTAAACACTTGCTACGTCGCGTAATCGGAAGTAAAAAAAATATGCATATACTAGCGAGCAAAAGCACAATTGTTATGTAGAACAATGAGCTAAAAAAGCCTTTCAAAAAGCAAGCATAGAAATAAAATAAAACCCCACAAACATATTCATTTCTAAAAATCATTTTATTTGTCGCCCTTCCCCTTATCTCCTGGCGTGGTTGTTCCCCTTTGGAGTTGACTCAGCCTTATTCTGTCCCTCAACGTTATTTTTCCCAAGTACATTACACACTCAACGACACGCAACTCACTGAATATACTCATCGTTCAAAGTTTGCCCTTAAGTATTTAAATTTAGTTTCGGGGATTCCCATCTCATAATTACAACACTTAGTTATTCTAATAATAAAAATGTACATGTTTAAGAAGTAGACATTGTCTCATGTTATGACTACTGTATCTCGTTTCCCCAAGTCGTAAAGTTTTGTTTGATCCTGATAATAACGCGCTTCTTAAGTTAAGTGAAACAACGGTAGCTAAAGATAGCATCTAGAACAGTGACATGTAGATCTAAACAACGTTCGGACAAGTGGTTTTTAAAGAAATACTTCAACATGTTTTGTTCATTTAGTTTTGGGAAAACAATGTAGGACGTAGATAGGGAAAAAGGAGCGGGTCGAGAAGTCAAGCTGACCTTAAAGACACTTACAATAAAATGCGTGTGTGATTTAACTATTTTTAAATAAAAGCTAATGAAAATGTGAAACATTATTTGATTCTTTTTCAGATTGTTTTTAAAAATCATGGAGACGTATACACATGTGAATGATTTTCAATTTCCTGTATGTGATATTCAATGACTTATCTATACAACCTGCTACACGTTTTCTAGCCACGAATATGCGAATATTGTGTAGCAGCATTCAATTTGAAGCTAAGGTATTATTCATTATAGCCTAATCAAAAGTTTTGAAGTAACAAAGACTAATCCACAATCCATATTCTAATGACGGATAAACCATGGATCCCGAAGACAGTTTTTACCAGCAGAATAGTCTGATCTCATTTAGCAGTGGTTCTGACAGCGCACGCGGGGACTCTAACGATTCCTCTGGGTCTTTTAATTCTGCAAGAAACACAGTGCTGCAGTCATTGAAAGACAACCACCGTTTGAGAACCGCTACCAGTTACAATCCAAATATAAAAGACAGTGGCAGTTGCAATAAAAATGTGAGAATCACTTCAAGTCGTAAACGGATTACTCAGGACAAGGGGAGTAGCATCGATAGCTTAAGATCCCTTGTGACAGACAATCACCCGAATATACACGAGAAAAACAGTACCAATGAAAACGTGAGATCCTCAAGTAAGAAAAATTGTATACGTCAAAATGACAGGTCTCATCCTTCTAGACATCGAGGATGTAAAACACTTCCAGAAACTGACTTAGAGAACGATGTAGACAGTAAATATTCCAATACAAGATCTGAAAGTAGTCAGCGATCTAGACTAGGTTCTGATCTAGGAGTTCTAATGCAGACACCGGAAGTAGATCACTCCGTTCAAAACGTATTGTCAGACGAAGCGCTTCCGGAGCTTCGTGTTGCAGCATCGATGACGTTCGACATAAACGTTGATTACATTTCCGGCAGCGACTGTCTGGCTCCACCCCAACCGCATCTTATACCGGAAGTACGTCAAACACACACATCACACAACCGAACGTCTGCGGATTCCATGAATTTAAACAGACGACAGCTCCCACCTCTGCCCTCGCAGACGGGTAGCGAGACTTCCTGTTACATCTCCTACGACCAACCGGTGGAGCCGGTCAAACGAGTCAGAAGGAGAGAACCCAGACATTCTCTCCATGCCAGACGATCTCTGATCCTGATCACAATGCTCTCCGTCCTTCTAAGTCTAGCGTCAGTTGGGTTTCTAGTTCTGCTGATTACAAGACAAACCCCTAGCCCCAATAATAAACTCTTCAAGGGTCTGTACGAAGCGTGTGTTGAATGTTTAGAGAGCTTTGATCATATCGATCTATTGACAGTTAGAAAAGAGAAAGACAAATCTTTTTGTTGCGCCACTCTTGATGATCAAATGTATGCGCTTGTACTTATGGTGAGTATTTTCTCTTGTGTGACACATTTTATTTAACATACTGATTGGTGATTGTATATCATGAGTGGGTATAACAGTAAATGGTTCGCATTTTGGATACAACGGGACAAGTAACTGCCATGTAGATTTCATTTGCCTAATTCTTCGATTAGTGGTTAGGGTTAGGGTTAGGGTTAGGGTTAGGGTTAGGGTTAAGGTTAGGGTTAGGGTTAGGGTTAGGGTTAGGGTTAGGGTAAGGGTAAGGGTTAGGATGACAAGCCTGTAGGTCTCGAGTTCGGATCTGGGTTTTGGTGTTTAGAGTAAAGAACGTTCTTGAGCCCGCTCAGGTCTAATGGGTACCTGACCCACGCTAGGGAAAGTAAAGGTGGCTGGGCATAGTGCAGCCCATTACATGCATTCACATGCATTAGTAAACAAACATCTGCCTTCTTGACCGTTAGGTCTGAAAGCGTAACCTTACTATTGACATCAATGGAATCGTTTTAGCTCTGACCAACATCAAAAACATTTACTAGAAATAAGCAGAGGGCCTTGTCTATCGTGTAATTGTTAGAGTTATGGTGTTAATCCTGACGGAACGAGTTTGTTATTTCGAAATGTGTGGAAGTAGGTTACGGGTATTTTTGTTTTCATTCGAAGAAGCGCTAAGTAGATTCATGTAATGCAATTGTTGTTTTCATTTTAAAAGAAAAACATGTTCTTAAAAAATACAATGGCTAGTGTATTGTTGAAACCGCATCGTTCATTATTTGTTTAACCGAGTTTTCATGATAAACTTTTGTCGTAAAACGTGTTTCACTATATATATATATATATATATATATATATATATATATATATATATATATATATATATATATATATATATATATATATATATATATCTAGTCTTTTCTTTTTAAATGCAGATTCGAAACAAGAAAAACCAAAGTAAGCAATATACAATATATAGGCTACAATCTTTATAATATATATTTAGTACTCAACACATTAAATCTTATATATATATTTACATTGTATGGCTTAAATGCATACTACTTATTATTTCTTTTTCGATAGTTATTTATGGATACCATCTACTATAATGTTTCAGCAAGCATCAACTTCAGCAAAGAGACCATCGAACTGAACGTCACACACACCCGCTACCACCAAGGGGTAAAACGTCAAAAGAGATCCAGACCAGACAAAGTATTCACGGTGACTCGAACTGGCTGGTACCGGGTGTCCTTGAACTTGAGGGCAGCCTGTTTACCGTCGCAGAAGGTTAGCATCGTCAGTTATACTTATATATAGTGGTCGGCGTGGTCGAGTCGGTAAAGCAGATAGTTACTAAACCGACAAGTTTCGAGTTCGAAACCCTGGTGGATGAGGCTCGTTAGCTGGGGAGATCCAGTCATAGAGGGAAGACAACCCCAAATATTCTATGGAAGCAAATCCAAAAAGAAAAGCAGGCTGTAATTGGAGTAGAAGGCCACAATGGCGTTTAACACGTTGAAACGTATACTTAACTGTTTTGCAGTGGATCCCTTCCAACACTAAAATTAAGACCGAAGAAGAAGAATATACTTGTGAAATGTTAAAATTAATAAGTATTTAGGATTATTCCGTCTTAATATTTATACAATCATGTTGCATTTTAAATGCACTTTAGTATTAAATAATAAGTTGGTTAAAATATTTTATGATTACAGCTATCTTCTCAAATAACAGATGCAATCCTAAATTTTAATTACATCTTCTGATTAAGTTCTTCTTCTTCGTTCTTAATTTTTAGTGTTGGGAGGGATCGAACCTTATCTGCCAGAGGGTTTGAACTCGAGACTTTTTTTTTCGAATTTATCAACCATGAGCTTTGCCGACTCGACCATGCTTCCATCACAATTAAGGATTACGTGTCAACTGGTTATGCGCCATTAAGGCCATTGACTCCGATTTCAGCCTGCATTTCTTTGGGGATTTGCTTCCATAGCCTTTGTCCAACCAAGAACAAACTACAAGGCAGCAGTTGTTTGATTTTGGAGTTGTCTCTCCTAGAAGAGTGGCTGTCCCCAGCTAACGAGCCTCATCTGCCCGAAGGTTCGAACTCGAAACTTTTCGGTTTAGCAACCATGAGCGTTACCGACTCGACCCCGCCGACCCTTCTGATTTAAAATAAATTTTATTACATATTGTGTGAAGTTCTAAACATGATTTTGTATATTTTTCATTAAGCCTTGGTCTGAAAGTTGACAAATTTAAAACCCGCAACGAAGACTAATGTTCATTTTTTTCAAATCAATAAAAGTAGGGTAACATACCCTTTGAGACCGGATGATCCCCATAGAAATAAAATGAAATCTGCATATGTTATTGCCTGATCAGCGCTTTGTCCAAACCGCCTTCTATACCTTAATCAGATTTAGGTACCACTTAAAAAAGCTCGGCACAAGGACATCTAGAAGAATCAACCTTGGAAAGATAACTCTTTGTATAGCCAAGCACGAGTCAGACACTGGCCCCTGCCCACCCCACTCAGGGAAAAATTATATGGGGCACCTGCCAAACTGGAGACCACAGTCCGGTTTGTTCACGAAGTTGGACTTGTTGTCTGAATCCTCCACCATATTCTCAATTAAGAACGAAGAAGAAGAAACTCTGGTTAACAGTCGTGTACTCCACCACCCCGATACATAGTCTCATTTTTGTTCTTACAAATACAGATTTTCAAATGTTTGTAACAAAAACACACTGTAAAACCAGTTCTGCAAGAGATATAGATGGAAAACCCCACATCGAGCTTATTTTAAAAATGTTGCTCGTCACAGTTCACTGAATTTTAACAGCATTTCATTGAGAACTAGGTCACCTGCGTTTATGCTAAAAGGCATACAATAGAAAGGCGCCAAGGACGTTTCTTTTTAGACTCGGCTCCTTAAAAAAATATGTTAGGGGCAGGTGGTGCCAGTGGCGGCGAGAGGTCAGGTGTAACCCGTTGTGGTAGGTTCGGCTGTCACCCCTGCTTCTTCTTCTTCTCTTCTTCTTCTTCGTTCTTAATTTTTAGTGTTGGGAGGGATCGAGCCGTATCTCAGTTATCTGCCAGAAGTTTTGAACTCGAGACTTTTTTTTAAATTTTATCACCCATGAGCTTTTGCCGACTCGACCATGCTTCCATCACAATTAAGGATTATTTGTCAACTGGTTATGCGCCATTGAGGCCATTGACTCCGATTTCTTTTTGGATTTGCTTCCATAGCCTTTGTCCAACCAAGAACAAACTACAAGGCAACAGTTGTTTGATTTTGGAGTTGTCTCTCCGAGAAGAGTGGCTGTCCACAGCTAACGAGCCTCATCTGCCCGAGGGTTCGAACTTGAGACTTTTCGGTTTAGCAACCATGAACTTTACCGACTCGACCACTCCGACCCTTACCCTGCTTCTAATCAGCTCCATATACACACATACACACAGTGCAGAACATCCCTAAACAGCCAACACCCATATCACAACAATTCAAAGCTACGTTAAAGCTTGCACTGCAGTGAATAGGACGAGTGGCATACCAGCCATTCAACTTTTTCCCTCGGTTTATTAAACTTTTCATCAGACATGTAATTTAAAAACGTCTCACCGCTTCGTCCTGGTGAGTCAAGGTGGTCTGATCAGTTATGTAACGTACAGGTGCGTGTCTGGTCACAGTTGGCTGACTTGAGTTAGTTCCAGTTTCGGTTGAGTTTCGAGAAGGCAATACCTGTCCATACAGGGACACTAAAGGGAGTTTCTACTTTCATTTCGATGCTTACATTGATGTGTTATTGAACGCTGTCCACAAAATATTACAGCAAAACAAGCAAAACAAGCTTGGTGAAAATCTGGGAGTGGCTAACAATAAAGCTGCTTTATAAATTGCATACTGCCAAACTGTGAGAATGCTTATAGATATATATATCTGTGTGAAGGGGGAGGGAATATATATATATATATATATATATATATATATATATATATATATATATATATATATATATATATATATATATATATATATATATATATATATATATATATATATATATATATAGGGGTCATCCATAAATGACGTCACACTCGCAGCAGGGGGGAGGGGGGTCCGTAATTTTGTGACGATGTGTGATGAGGGGGAGGGGGGGGGGGGTCAGATGTTGCGACGTCACATTTTTGCATTATAAAAAAGCAATGTTAGAAAACGAATTTTAGACGTTATTTCGCGTTTTAGATAACTGTTTTAATAAATTGTAATAGTTTAGACGAGATTTTGGAAAAATATCAATGTTTAAAAAAAATTCAACTGCAATTTTGAGGGGGGTTGTAGGTTGAGGTGTGACGTCATTTTAGGGGGGGGGTCTGGCTTTTTGTGACGAAGTGTGACGGAGGGGAGGGGGGGGGAGGTAAAAATCGTCAAAAAAGCGTGACGTCATTTATGGATGACCCCATATATATATATATATATTAGTAGTAGCGGCAAGATGCAATAAATATATACATATATATATATATATATATATATATATATATATATATATATATATATATATATGTATATATTTATTGCATCTTGCCGCTACTACTAATCATGCAAGAAGTGTGATGTTCTTTGTTAGGTTGCGTTCAAACCTTTTTCGCAACACCCAAAAGCGACAGAGGTGTATAACCACCTGTCTGTAGGTTTTCCGACACGGCTTAGGAACTTAGCTGCTAAGCTGTAGACACCCTTATTTGGTAAGGACATATCCAACTCTTGTAACAAATCACACTCCGACTGCAGGTTCGAGATTACAACAGTTTATTTGTTGATGAATAATCAGTGTTCAAAGAATAATGTGAAAATCTATAGACATCCAATGCTATAAATCAGGGGTCTCCAAACTTTTCAGTCCGAGGGCCGCATTAACATGTCTTTGATTTTTCTGGGCAAAGTTCCTCAGCTATCACGAACAAACGTTTTTTTCCGTGGACAAAAAGATCGCCGCGGGCCGGATAAGAGGACTTCGCGAGCCGTAGTTTGGAGACCCCTGCTATAAACTATAAACCCAAACTGTACCACTAGTATCTGAAAATAAGAAATAAAACAAACTTGCTCTTTTTAATGAAAGTTTTAGATGCGCGTGAGGTCTGTTACATATTTCAGAGAGTAAAGTTTTATTTAAAAAAAAACAACTTGATTTTTTTTTTATTCCAGGTGCACTTAAAAACCTTTTTTAAAAATGGTTTTTATTTCTATTATATTGAGGTTATTTCCAGGAATTAAGTGCGTAGGATGATTTGGGTTGAGTTCACCTAACCGTATCGCGTATACAGCCTTCAATTTAAAAAAAGGGTCATAAAATAATATTAAAATTAACTAAAATATATGAAAGGTAGAACCTTAATTTCTGAACTTGTCTTTTATAATTTTAAACTTTTACAACTTTCAAAACCTGCACAATTCTTACGTATTGTTTCAGTAATTATTTTTCTTTATGAACCAAGCATACTATTCTACATTTTTCCATTTCATGGCTATTTCAATTTATCTTAAGTCATCATACAATGATTAAAGCTGTGCATTTTTCTCAAACTTCACAGAACACAATTATAAAAGTTTGGCGAACATTTCTAAATCGACACAAAAAAACTTGTAGGGAACAGATCTCAAGCGTTAGATGCCCTTTAGTTTGGTTAAAAGACTACTTTTACGAAGGTAAATTTTACATTTGGATTGCGATTTTGGTTTGCATTTAACCACGTGTTTAGACTTTAAAATGTTTTTTTAAAAACTAATTAATATAAGTTAACTAATTAAAGAAAAAAAAAATGAGAGTAATATATATATTAAATATATAGCCGAAAATGAGGCTCGCCTAAACATTAGATAGTGCTCTATATCAGAGGCGTAGCGAGGGGGGGTCGCGGACCGCACCGGGTGACACCATTTAGGGGGGTGACACCAAAGTAAATATATAGAGAGAAACACTTGAGGGGGGTGCAAATCGAATCGAAAGTTTGACGGGGGGGGGGTGCAAATCGAAAACTTGACGGGGGGTTGCAAATCGAAAGTTTGAGGTGGAGGGTGCAAATCGAAAATTTGAAAGTTTGTCCCCGGGACAACGCCTCTGGAGGCATTAAGTGCCGCACCGGGTGACACCCGACCTCGCTACACCACTGCTCTATATATCACAACCATGTACTATTTGCATATTCAAATTTCAAAAAAAGCAGGAACTAGATATCGATTTTTTATCCAACGCCCGAGTTAGACATGTTATCAAACACTTACAATTTGTTACTTAGAATCGCCTTCCTTGTAACCCGGTATCAACTTTCCTGGTTGATATAAAGTTCTGATAAACATGTCAACATTGCCTTATCGTTTTGCATGGAAAACAATCTGTATTATTTTTTCTTTCTCGTATAGGAAGTATATAGGAAGTATTGTAATCGTGAAAATAAATCGAGATTTTCACAGATCTCGACGTTTTTGCACCTCCCTGAGTCGGAAAAACATAGTTTTGCAATTTTGTCTCTGTGTGTGTGTGCATGTGTGTGTGTTTGTGAACACGATAACTTGAGTACCGTTACAGCTAGATTGATGAAATTTCATATGTAAGTATAATATTGAATTTGTAGTTCTGTGTTAATTTTTCAGCGATTTCCGATAGCCGGAAGTGGAACTTATTCTAGTTTCAATTTTTTCAAAAGTCTATAACTTAAGTACTATTTCAGATAGATAAAAGAAATTTCATATATGTCATGATTAAAAGATCTACTTCTCTGCCTTTTGACAAATTTTGAATAATTTTCGTTGACCGGAAGTAGTAATTTACGCTATTTCCGAATTCTCAAAAAACGCTTGTGAATTTATAAAGTACTAATAATATTCCGCACTATTATACACAGATTGTTTTGCATTCACGTGGTGTGCAATTCTTTTTTCTACGAGATTCAATTCTATTTTCAAAAGTTTAAGTAATTAAAAATGGATTATTAAAAATCATATCTATATCCTTAGTTGCCGTCACTCGTAGTGTTATATATTATTACGAATATTCGAGAAAGCTTATGAGAGATCAAGGTACTCAAGTTAGCGTGTTTACAGACACACATACACACACATACATACATACAGACATACGGACAAAATTGCAAAACCATGTTTTTCTGACTCAGGGATTTGTACCCGGATTCAAACTCGAGACTCGGGTTAGCACTCTAGCGCTCTACCGCTAGACCACGATTTGAGAATGGTGTGATAAAAAAAAAAAAATATACAACCATCTATTTAACAGCATGATAAAAAACAACCATAAACTAACACATATTACTTGTACTTATAAATCATTTGAAAGGAATTTAAACATTCACTTTTTTTCAGCCGGCGTATTTGTACTACATAAAGATGATCACATATATGCTACAACCACAACAGATGGAGATGGAAGCCAAGTTACTATAGCGGGACTACTTCATATATCAGCCAGTCTTAACGTATCTACAATTGAAAACTGAAACTTCACAGTTTAAAGAACAACAGAGTTTTAACAATACTAATAAAAAATGTGTACAATTCCGAGAAGCGCTTTTTTTGCGCATCATAAAAACTGAACTAGAATTATAAAATGTCAGATTATGATTTCATGTAAAAATGTGCAGATTCCAAAATGGATTGATTATCGTCTATTTAAAAATAGAACAATGATGTTATAGTAAATGTAATATACATTTTTGTAAATATGTAAATACATGAAACACATAACTTTCTTTCTTAATGAAAAGAAGTACTTCATTTTATAACAAGTTGTTTAAAGATGTTATTTAAATAATGCCTGATTTGGGTTGATAAATGAGTGTTCTCATGTTGGTTTAACATTCTCTGCAATTTCAGACACAAAATTCATCTAAAAATCTATTATTCTACAATGCCTCGACATATTCAAACATCGCTTTTATAGATGTTGTTTTTAAAATGTTATTTCAATTATTATATGATGTTGTCTTATCATAATTAAATTAGTATAATATATATAAATACGCTGTTCTTTTGTTTTTAGATCTAAAAAGACTTTGTTTCAAGTACAAATTGAGCATTGCAAATCCATATATATATATATATATATATATATATATATATATATATATATATATATATATATATATGTGTGTGTGTGTGTGTGTTTATGTGTTTTATTGTGTGTAAACATTTATTTATTTATATTTATATTTACAACTACACATACTGTTCAAAGAAAAGCTAGTCGTTCAGGCTTTGTCAAGTATTTTTTTAAAATTAAGCGTTTGTTTAATGAAACTGAATATGAACTCTAAACATAAACTAAAAACGAAAACATCAATACAGATACACTACTTATTTACATTTTTATATATAAAAAATAGAGGACGCTTATAATGTCAGATAAGTTCTATAATAAGCAATCGATGGCAAGGCCTCGTATGAATTGGGCAAAACAAAACAAAGTATAAATGACCATTATTGCCTACATATTTACCATTTAATATATTTGAAAATTTACTCTCAATTTTAGCTCAAATACAATAATGTTTCAACCATGGATATTTTCCGAAGAAAAAACATTTTGCAAAATGAACAATGGCAAAAAAAAGACCATATTGTTAATTTATATGTAGGAGTCAATGGCCTCAATGGCGTATAACTAGGTGACAAAAGTATACTAAATTGTTCTTAAGGGAATCATACGAAGAAGAATTTATATGTGTACTCATAATTTAAGTAAGGTAAATTTGTTGTATTATGAATGTAAGACAAAGAAAGCTGTAACTTAACGTAAAAGATGACATTTTGTGGCTTCATGGGTATAACACCCTCTAACACCCCCCCTGCCATCGCCAATGGGTAGGCCTACAACTGTGTGGGTTAGTCGTTCGAATCGTGTTGTGTCAATTTATATGATCGTATGTGAGGATATTGTTCATAACTTGTGTTGCTGTTTGCCGCATGTAAAACAAAATGTATGTTTTGTAAACATAGTATTTTATTTTATTTCGCAATAGCGGACATATGAATAGTTTTCGAGAGTTCGAGTCGACAGAGAAATATTCACAAAGCGGGGAAAAATATCTTAAAATAATTTCAAAAGAAAAGTTGAGCAGGATGAGGGGATTTCTTAGGGAAACGTCTAAAACAGTTGATAATGCCCTAAATTGTGATTATACTTCTTTTTTTAGAAACCTCTACACAGGAGCACATATAAAATATAGTAAATTTTACCGAGCGTGAAATTCTTAAGTGCCCCCCCCCCCCACTTCCCCAGAACAAACGCCCCCCCCCCCCCGCCCGCTGGGTTTCCTACCTGTGTTGTAAGGACTTTGGTCTAAATTCAATTTGGGTTTCCCTGCAGTTCTTCAAACGTTATGGAGTAAGAAGGTAAGGATATTTCTGTAGTGTTACCTGTTAAACTAGCTAGTCGGATTTGCTTACGATTTTCGATAGGACTTCGCTATGTAGTTATGCAGATAAGCGTGCTCCTCATATTAAGACAGCCTAGTTTTGCAATGTTTATACATGCTATTATTGGTCGTTGCAGGGCAGATTAATGCGCATAGACCATTCGCCAAAATAATTGAATATGTTTTAATAGACACCGTACTACACTGCTTTACCTTTGGGGTTCTTCTTCGTTATTAATTGTACTTTTGGGTCGGATTTCCTCCAACACAATTAAGTTTTTCGTGTCAATCTGTTAGGCCGTTGCCTCCGATTTCAGCCTGCTTTTCTTTCTGGATTAGTTTCAAGAAGAGAAAAACAGCAAGGGAGCAGTTGTTTGATTTTGAGTCTTCTCTCTTTGATTAGATGTTGTAACCATATTTAGAGCCTCATCTTCCTGGAATTTCAAATGAACACCGTTTCCTTTTAGCAGCCAATAACAGATAGATTGGATGGTACATTAGCATCATACGGCATGGAAATCAATGCTGACAAGACTACGGCCATAACCAACATCCCGTATAGCGACATCCTCCTCTTTGGATGTGAGGCATGGACCGTCAACTTAGAACTCCTGCGAAGAATCCATGCCCTGGATATGAGATGTCTACGCAGACACCTATGGGTATTATACAGAGATCACATAACTAATGAGATATCCGGGAAGGGATCACTAATCCGATTGTTCCCTTTGAGAGTCCACTGATCATAGTCAAAACAAGAAAATTGAGTTGGTATGGGCATGTTACAAGATCCAAAACAATGTTGCAAGGTACTGTGCTAGGAGGGAGAAGTAAGGGGAGGTAAAGACGAAATTGTATTGGTGACATCAACAATTGGACTAGGCTGCTCGTCTCAAGTACTCATCAAAATATCAGAGAACCGGGATGGATGGCGAAGAATTATGAAGTCAACCGTGGTGCCCTCAACGACCAACCCCCCCCCCCCCCCCACGTAAAAGATTAAGAGACAGTGATGATCATGAACCATGAACCAAAATATACATTTGGAACTTGTACAAAAAATTAAGATTTTAATACTATAATTTAAATCATTTAAAAGAAAAGAAATAACACATGGTACTTGTAACAATTTTTTTCCCGTGAACAAAATTATAATTTTTTAAATTAAAATATTTTCACTCTGCTTTAATTTGTTGTTTAGTTAAAATTTAAAAGTATACTTGATATTTTAAAAAAAACTATGTAAATGACAACATAAGTCAATTTAAGTTACATTCAAAATAAAGACGACTCATTATAATAATGTCCACGAAAATTAAAGAAATGTGATATCCAAATTTTTTAAATCTATTTTAGATGCAATCCTGTTTAATTATTTGTTTTCAGGACAAGTAGATAAAATGTTCATAACATTATAAGAGCTAATAATATTCAGCTGCAAACTGTAGATGAAACAATCATGTCAATGGAGGCGAATCATTTCAGCTTTGACAGAAAATGTGATTCAAGAAGCGACCTGTACACCGCGCTCTACAGCTTGCCGGGGGAGCATCAGCACTTCCAGAGGGTAAAGACGCGTCAGCCCCCTAAGCGTACTCACAGTCTCCCCCCGGGTCACTACAACAACCACAGACCCTCATCAGCCCCACCGTTGCCCCCTAGCCCCGGGCACATCCCGACCCAGAAGCTGCTTCCCGAACGTCCTCTCCAGCGTAAGAAGAAAACTAAATGTCTCGAGAAAAAGAACGTGCTATATATAGCGTTGATCGCGCTAGTCTTGGTGCTTACTGTTGTTCTCTTGATGATTTATCTGACTCGATCAGACTCGTGTCAGAAAAAGCTCCCAGAATTCCAGCCCCAGAACTGCAGTAGCGTGTTACTTAACTGTCAGACCGGAGAAGTAATCAAAACTACTGGAGCACCGGAAACTACATCGTTTCAAACTTCCTTATCTGACGTAAGCATGAGTTTAAAATTTCGAACATATTTACTTCTTAGTGTGTTATACACTTCTTTCTTTCAAACTTACGTTTATTTTTTACTTATTTATAAAATATACGTAACAGTAACCATGCAACGTATTTTCTAAGTTTTTATCAATGTTTTTTTTTTTTTTGCTTTAAAGACGTCAAACAAATGTGTAATATTAAGGGATTGGTTGGCTTATTAATTTTTCTGCTTTTTTGTATGTGGTGGTGGTGGATGGAAGTGTTTTGTAAGACCTATTTTAATTCAAATTTTTAGGAAGTTTTCACTGTTTGTTTATAGCTAGACAAAGACTTACAATGACTGTATATAAAACTATCACAGGAATACTAGTAACAATTATTCGAGGACTTACATTAACAGTATATAAAAATATCAGTAGTACTAGTAACAATTATTCGAAGACTTACAATAACTATATAAAAATATCAGTAGTACTAGTAACAATTATTCGAAGACTTACATTAACTATTCAAAAATATCAGTAGCACTAGTAACAATTATTCGAAGACTTACAATAACTGTATTTAAAAATATCAGTAGTACTAGTAACAATTATTCGAAGACTTACAATAACTATATAAAAATATCAGTAGTACTAGTAACAATTATTCGAAGACTTACAATAACTGTATATAAAAATATCAGTAGTACTAGTAACAATTATTCGAAGACTTACAATAACTGTATATAAAAATATCAGTAGTACTAGTAACAATTATTCGAAGACTTACAATAACTGTATATAAAAATATCAGTTGTACTAGTAACAATTATTCGAAGACTTACAATAACTATATAAACATATCATTAGTACTAGTAACAATTATTCGAAGACTTACAATAACTGTATATAAAAATATCAGCAGTACTAGTAACAATTATTCGAAGACTTACAATAACTGTATATAAAAATATCAGTAGTACTAGTAACAATTATTCGAAGACTTACAATAACTGTATATAAAAATATCAGTAGTACTAGTAACAATTATTCGAAGACTTACAGTAACTGTATATAAAAATATCAGTAGTACTAGTAACAATTATTCGAAGACTTACAATAAACCAGAAGATTTTGTTTAATCTTCTTATTTTTATTGCATTCAAAAGCTTTTTAGTTTAGACATTTTTTATATATTATTTTGTTGTAAGCTATTATTGAATTTTTTTTTTCTTGAACAGACCATCACAGTGACGGCTCCCATTAAACCAGCAAGCACAGGTAGGTAACTTACATTGGTAATGTTTTTAAATCCCGGTCTTCCAATTTACATTTTCAAACATCAACTATCAATATTTTAAAATGATAACTAAAAAATTTGTGAATAAAATAGTCTACAAATAGACAAGGCAGAAGTATGGGTCAGTGTGTGTCAGTGTGGGTCAGTGTTGGTCAGTGTGGCTCAGTGTGGGTCAGAGTGTGCAGTGTGGGTCAGTGTGGGTCAGTGTGGGTCAGTGTGTGCAGTGTGGGTCAGTGTGGGTCAGTGTGGGCCAGTGTGTGCAGTGTGTGCAGTGTGTGTCAGTGTGGGTCAGTGTGTGTCAGTGTGGGTCAGTGTGGGTCAGTGTGGGTCAGTGTGGGTCAATGTGGGTCAATGTGGGTCAATATGTGTCAGTGTGGGTCAGTGTGTGTCAGTGTGGGTCAGTGTGGGTCAGTGTGGGTCAGTGTGGGTCAGTGTGGGTCAGTGTGGGTCAATGTGGGTCAATGTGGGTCAGTATGTGTCAGTGTGGGTCAGTGTGTGTCAGTGTGGGTCAGTGTGGGTCAGTGTGGGTCAGTTTGGGCCAGTGTGTGTCAGTGTGGGTCAGTGTGGGTCAGTGTGTGTCAGTGTGGGTCAGTGTGTGCAGTGTGGGCCAGTGTGTGTCAGTGTGGGTCAGTGTGTGTCAGTGTGGGTCAGTGTGGGTCAGTGTGGGTCAGTGTGGGTCAGTGTGGGTCAGTGTGGGCCAGTGTGTGCAGTGTGTGCAGTGTGGGCCAGTGTGTGTCAGTGTGGGTCAGTGTGTGTCAGTGTGGGTCAGTGTGGGTCAGTGTGGGTCAGTGTGGGTCAGTGTGGGTCAGTGTGTGCAGTGTGTGTCAGTGTGGGTCAGTGTGGGTCAGTGTGGGTCAGTGTGGGTCAGTGTGGGTCAGTGTGTGTCAGTGTGGGTCAGTGTGGGTCAGTGTGGGTCAGTGTGGGTCATTGTAGGTCAGTGTAGGTCAGTGTGTATCAATGTGGGTCAGTGTGGGTCAGTGTGTATCAATGTGGGTCAGTGTGGGTCATTGTAGGTCAGTGTGGGTCAGTGGTAACTGTATTTGTAATCCAATCCTATATAAGTTTACATGCCAGCCAATGCGAGTTGTGAAGCAGTTTTTGCTTGTAACACTGGAAGTAGAGTGATAAATAATGAAAATAACGACACCCCCCCCCCCCCATCACCCCACCAAAAAAAGGGAAAATGTACTCAATATCAATGAAAATATAAATGATATTGATCACTTAATTACTGAATCATTTTAACGTGCTTGTGAAAATTAATCAACAAAGCACACACACACACACAGTTGCAAAAAAGGCAAAACACGAATAATTTGCGATACAACTTGTATGCTTTAAAGGTTAAAAAATTGAGTACACACGAGTAATCTTTATCGGTGACTTTAATGTTGATTTTTTTTTTGCCAGATGACGTCACGAGTCCACCTGACAATACAAAGAGCTGTGGGGAGGGAGAGGCGTGTGTCAAGTTGACCTTTCAGATACCCAGCCCACCATTTCAATGTGAGTAACGTTATGAATGTGTCCAGTTTGGGCTTGAACCCTAGACTTCATTGTTTCTTTATTTTATTTGACCGTGAATAACAATTGGATGAATTTACAGAGCTTAACGGTCAGAGCTTAAAGATTGCATGCAGCATGTCTTAATTCTTGTGGTGGAATTGATTCCCTCCAACACAGTAAAGTATTACGTTTCAACTCTGATTTCTGCCTGTTTTGTTTTATGGATTTGCCTCCATAGCCTTTGTCCAACCAAGAACAAACTACAACGCAGCAGTTGTTTGATTTCGGAGTTGTCTCTCCTAGAAGAGTGTCTGTCCGTAGTTATCAAACCTCATCTTCCCGGGGGTTTGAACTCAGACATTTTCTGAGCTTAACTGACCCGACCATGCCGACCTCTAATGTGCTTAAAATATTTTAAAAATACTATTTCATTTTATTACTTTAAACTTTAGAAAAACATTTCAAATTGTTCTTATCTAGAACATACCATAGCCAATGAGCTTTGTATTGCTAAGCTAAACCACTCGAGCACGCTATTCTACTTGATAGATTGCTCATGATAAGTTCCAGTAGCGTAGTGAGGACGGGTGTCACTCGGTGCGGCACTTAAAGGTGTCACCACCCAGAGGCGTAGCGACCCTTCCCGGGGACAAACTTTAAACTTTTGATTTGCACCCCTTCAAACTTTTGATTTGCACCCCCCCCCCCTTCAAACTTTCGATTTCCATCCCCCCCCTCAAACTTTCGATTTGCACCACCCCCCTCAAACTTTCGATTTCCATCCCCCCCCCCTCAAACTTTCGATTTTCACCTCTTTAAAGACTATTTAACATTCGAATTAATCACTTAATTAAGTGGAATTATCATTTTTAGCTATATATTTTGCTATGTTTTGCCTTGGTGTCACCCCCCCCCCTAAATGGTGTCACCCGGTGCGGTCCGCACCTCCAGCCCCCCCCCCCCTCCCTTGCTACGCCTTTGATTAGTTCGCCTTTTTCTAAACTGTTGGCTGTTGAGCCATTACAACGTTATCTTATCGTGGGGACGGTTTCGGAGCTTAAGTGGAAATAAGGTTAGAATAAGGTAAGAAAAAGATTGGAAGCCCCCGAGTTCCCTAGCAGCTAGCTGAGCATATGGGTCCCTTAGATAGAGGTGCTTGCAAAAGGGGTCAAGGGTGCTACCTGATTCATATGTCAAACTGCATCTGGAGCGTCCTCCGTTGCCCCGGCTATCAAGTGACCCAGGGCGTACCTAGGCTCCCATATGAGCACCAATATTCTCTTAAACTGTAGACTCCCTCATCATCAGCATAATTTTTTTCTTTTTGTTCCAGAGCCTCTGTAAAAGCTTTCCACCCCCTACAATCTCCTGCCACTCTTTTCATCTGTTCCCAATCCTTCCTAATCCTTTGGGCCTCCACTACAACCCTATGTCGCCATGTCTTCCACGGACCCTGGCTACTCGGTTACGCCTTTGCGAGAAAGAATTATTATTATTCCATTTATATATTAGACTAATTACCTAGATCCTAACAAATCTTTATTCAACAGGTAGTCCAAATAACGCATCAAAAAATCTCAAGCTGAACGACAAGGCGGTGTTTGGCACAACAGACAGTGGTATTAGAATTAGCAAGAATGTCTCGGTCAACGTGTCTAGGTCTGGATGGTATTTCATTTATTCCAGTCTAGCGTTCACTTTCGACTGCACGTCGACATGTAAAGGAAATGGTGACACGGTAACAGCATCGTTACGTTAACTTTTTCATGTTTACATTCATACATTTCTCATGTTTCATTCATACATTTCTCGTGTTTGCATTCATACACTTCTTATGTTTTCATTAATACATTTTCATGCTTTCATTCATACATTTCTCATGTTTCCATTCATACATTTCTTATGTTTTCATTAATACATTTCTCATGTTTTCATTCATTCATTTCTCATGCTTTCAGTAATACATTTCTCATGTTTACATTCATACATTTCTCATGCTTTCAGTAATAAATTTCTCTTGTTTGCATTCATATATTTTTCATGTTTACATTCATACATTTCTCATGTTTACATTCATAAATTTCTCATGCTGTCAATAATAAATTTCTCATGTTTGCATTCATATATTTTTCATGTTTACATTCATACATTTCTCATGCTTTCATTCATACATTTCTCATGTTTCCATTCATACATTTCTTATGTTTTCATTAATACCCTTCTCAAGTTTTCATTCATACATTTCTCATGCTTTCAGTAATACATTTCTCATGTTTGCATTCATACATTTCTCATGTTTGCATTCATACATTTCTCATGTTTGCATTCATACATTTCTCATGTTTGCATTCATACATTTCTCATGTTTGCATTCGTAACTTTCTCTTGTTTTCATTCATACATTTCTCATGTTTGCATTCATACATTTCTCATGTTTGCATTCGTAACTTTCTCTTGTTTTCATTCACACATTTCTCATGTTTTAATTCATAACTTACACATGTTTTCATTCATAACTTGTTTTCATTAATAACACACTAAGATAACATCTGCATACACATTTATTAAAACAAAGCCTCAAAGAAAATACATAAAAAGTAAACTATTAATATGTTTGATACGTGCATATGCTAATGGACTGTTATTAATTGAAACCATACTACTGTACATGTTGCTGTTGCAGATGTATCATAAAGTGAGGTTGTATCGGATCCTTGTCAACACAGACCCAACTAAAGACATCAAAAAAGAGATCTTTAGTGCGTCTCATTCGTGTTGTAAGGGCTGTGGTACAAGTCAACGTGTCAGCGTAGCTGGTGAGTCGTTTGTATTAAACTGTGTGGTGGTGGTGGGGGGGGGGGGGGGGGTAGATGGGTGGGTGAATAGGTTGGTGGGGGGTAGGTGGGTGGGAGGGGGTAGGTGTATAGGGATGGGGGTGGGGGGTGGGGGGTAGTGGCACAAGTCAACGGGTCAGCGTAGCCGGTGAGTCGATGTCTTAAAATGTGTGGGGGGGTGGGGGAGGGTAGGTGGGTGGGGGTGGGGGGTAGTGGTACAAGTCAACGGGTCAGCGTAGCCGGTGAGTCGTCTGTCTTAAACTTTGGGGGGGGGTGGTTGGGGGAGGGTAGTTGGGTGGTGGGGGGGGGGGGGTTGGGAGGTAGTGGTACAAGTCAACGGGTCAGCGTAGCCAGTGAGTCGTCTGTCTTAAACTTTGGGGGGGGGGGGGGGGTGGGGGAGGGTAGTTGGGTGGTAGGGGGGGGGGGGGGGTCGGGGTAGTGGTATTTTTGTTGGTACGATGTTTCGATTTTGTGATGATATCTTGATGCTGCCATATTTTGATGTTATTGCTAGTTAATGTGTTTTTGTTAGTCAGTCGGATTATTGAAAAAAAATTAAATTACAAGTCAGAGTATCACGTCTCTGTGTATAGCCATAATAGCTTCTATATTACAAATTAAAAGTAAAGATATATTTTAAGGTAAAGGGTTTTGATTGCCCTGTAGTAATAAAAGTTCCTTTTCGAACCTGACGGTCCATAGGGCAAGTAATGTAGACTTCACCCTTTTTATGACCTTGGCATCCGAAGGGATAGTGGCATCAACACTATGTCCAGCCGCATTTACTTTCTCTAATGTTTGTTATGTACCCATTAAACTCGGGTATTTCCTACGGAAATGAACCGGGATTCGAACTCGAGACTTTCAATTTAGCAGTAATAAGCTCTATCATTCCACCACGCAGTCCCATCATTGCTATGAAGCCGTGTATTAACCTCCCGGTGACCTTCACCTTAATGTCTTGGTTCCCTAATGTACGCAGGTGGAGTATACCAAGCAGTGAGCAATGACTTCATCTACTTTGATAGCACACGACCGGACCTCATCAACTTTGACAGCCCAGACACATTCGTCTACATCTCTCTTTTACACACTGACAACTGGGCATGGGATAAACCAGCGTCTTAAATAGCGGTTGAAAAACGTATGAGAAGACAGATTGCATAACTACTATAACCTATCGATTGAGATTTCTTATAATTAAATAAAAAACACATTCACACACGCACACATATACATACGTATATATATATATATATATATATATATATATATATATATATATATATATATATATATATATATATACACATGTGTGTGTGTATATATGCATTTTTATTAACCAATGTTTTTTTAATAATGGGTTTCGATATAGAAGGCTTGGTTATAAAACTTTTGATTCTAAAATTAATGTGGCATTACTTTTAGCTTTTAGAAAGCTAGCTATATTGTTTTTTTTTTTACAATATTGTTAAAACTTATTTGATTTCCTTTTATGAAATTATTCCTTTTTTGTGTTCAACTGAACAGTATTAGTGTTTTATTAGGTTGATAATGCACGTAGTTAGTGAATGCACTTAGATGTTGTTTTTCGCATCAAGGTAACTGTTACTTTTTCTTGAGATTGATCATGAACTTATTTAGTGAACGTATTTAATCATATGTAGCATTTAGTTGATTTTTTACCTTATATTTTTACAAACACTGCCGAATATTTGTCTTAGACAAAGCCTATATTTAACAAATGCAGCATATTTCTAGTATACGTCAATAACATACCTTGCAAATTGTATATGCATGGTACATGGCTAATATATTCATATTCTAGACGGGGGTATTATTCGAGCTTCCACATTTTATTTTGCATTTAATTCGTTTGTAGTAAAATAGTAAGATATTGAAATAGTGTGCATTTTTAATTGTTACGTTGCTCTTATTGTATATACTTTAAAGTTTACTTGCTTTTATCTATACATCTTATGGACAAATGTAGGATAGCCATTACATTGTCATAATATATTACTTCCCCACTAAAAGGCTTAAATTAAGTTGAGGAAGAGCATTTCGACCTTTACTTGGCTCAATGTTGTTTTTTATATGAACTATTTAAATTGACTTTCTGGGCAATTAAGCATTTGAAAATGACAAATGATTCAAGACAATAAAACAACTGTGATATTTTTTTGTACTTAATCATCGTAAACCTGTGAAAAAAAATCAGCTTTCTTCTTTTAGTGTATAAATTTTGCATTTATTGTTTTAAATTTTTACACCTATAATCTTTCTTATCACCAGCATTTAACTGCCAACAATTATTGATGACAAATAAATTTCAAACTGCTCTTAAATGTCATCGATATATTTGTTTTATAATAGATATAAATCAAATGGTTTTACTTAACATTTTTTTAAACAAAAAAACATTTTTTTTTATAAAACACTTTTTTCTGACTTTTATACTCGTCTTAAAAGTTAAAATGGTTCCAACACATTTTAAGATATTTTAAATTTAAAAAAAGTGTGTATATCTTGTTCAAATTTTGACAGTTATATAAAAGGCTGTTTTTAGTAACAATTTTTATCCAAAACAAAATACTTTATATGTATACATTTGTTATGTAATGTTTTTAATCAACAGAATTTCTTTAACTTCATTTTAAGAAAAAAGATTGTTGAACAATATTTGTGATTTATTTTTGTTGAACATTGCTTGTTTATTGCTCAAATATTTTTTACTAATGCATTTTACGCTTCGATTTGCGCTTCAAACTATTCCAAAGGCATTTTATGTAGGCATTTATTTTACATACTTTGGTGGCTATTTTATTAAAAGCTGTTTTAAAAGTGTTGTTGTCCACGATACTTGATAATTTCTGTTTAAGTTTGTAATGTGTTGTTTTTTTCAACTGTAAATAGAACTACGACAAATTAGAGGAAATAATTGCGTTAAGAAAGATAATTAATAAATAATTTAATTCGCCAGAAAAAAATACGTGAAAGCCAGCGTAAACGATGTTATGACACATTTGCTTGTTGATGGCGACGGGGTGGTCAAAGGGTAGAGCTTACGAGTGCTAACCTGAAACTCTCGAGTTCGAATCCCAAAATCTAGTCTGTAGGACGTCCCTGAGTTCACGGATTTTGTGGCGTATACCCGACTTACGTTACTAAAACAAAGATGGCTGTGTATAGTGCTGACCACACCCCCCCCCCACCCTGAATACTGAAGTCCTATAAACAGATGGACTTTACATTATCTTCCCATTAGGCACCAACAGAAGCAGATGAACATGCACCATGGTGTACATATAGCAATATTAACAGAAAGTGATATTTCAACGCCAGGGTAGACAAAGGTACAGAAAATAGTCCAAGTAAAAACTAGCATTCAGACACCAACGAGATCCGAACCTACCATTCCACACGGCACCTATTCGCCTTCGCCTTCCATGTGTAGAAATATTTGCACGGAAAACTATTGTCAAACACTATTGTCCAACTTGGACGATACACATCATTACGTATTAGCCTGATCTGGTATTCGCAGCTTCAGAAATTAGCATCGGCCATTTGTGCTGAGGTTAATTAGTGCGCTTTTCTTTATATGTCGCCTTGATGTATGAAGCTTTGTGTTTTTTTTTTAAAGAAGCTACGAATTTACTCGTTGGAGAAAATAAAATAAATATCATACACATTTAAGTGAAAGCAGTTCCTATTTTACCTATTATGTAGTTATGTGTATACTTGAACATTAATAAACAACTGCTAAAGTACTGATTACAATTATAAATAAAATACTCAAGCATAAAAAAATTGAACATTTTTATTTTTTTATAAAAACAGCCAAATCAGTAAATCGCTAATTTTGTCCATTCGATTTAAAAATTACATTAAGTTCAAATATTCGATTTGCAAAAAATCAGGTATAGAGAAGCAAATAATCAAGTGTTATGAGTGCCAATGTTCTTACAACAAGGGACACAATAAATTTTCGACACAGTAGAAACACGCACGTCAACATTTAGAAATGAGTCACAATTGTAACAATACGTCTGAGGTGAGCATCATTTGTAGATTGTGTCATGTCACTGACACTTGCATGTCAAGCTGACATGTTGTCTCAACTGTTAGTGTAAACTTGTTTCTTCCAGGAAATCAATTTTTTAAAGGGTGAGTTTAACTACTATTAGGTTGTCACATGTAAAGGACAACACCATGTGTGGTTGTTCGCGAGATGTTCTAATTGCCTGACTAAAGTAAATCTATTTGCCGTCTATATGACACAGGTACATCGTTCTACCACCTGTATGAGTCGGGTACATCTTTCTGTTACCTGTATGAGACAGGTACATCGTTCTACCACCTGTATGAGTCGGGTACATCTTTCTGTTACCTGTATGAGACAGGTACATCTGTCTGCCACCTAAGACAGGTAAATCTGTATTCCGCCTGTCTTACACAGGTACATCTGTCTGACACCTGTCTGACACAGGTAATCTGTCTCTACCCGTGTGACATCACGATGCCTCATCTGTCAACAGGACTAGTCCCAGGTAAGAAGAGCTGTAATCAAGATTCTCCAACTCTATTCCTGATACGGTCACGTAGATCCTGTCCCCAGCTGTCAACCTTATTACACCACCTGATATATCAGACAGTTATTTCATTATTTTTGTGATATAACACATACACATTACAGAGTTTTAAATAAAACAAACACATTAATTGAAATACACATCCACGAACAGTTAACTATTGTATTGATAAACCTATGTTTACGAACAGTAGATGCTGTCAGCGATATGTTTTAAATAATATTAAGTTAGTTATATTCTAGAGAGTTTTATATTTTACCTATAAAATAACCAGAGCAAAATTCACATGGTGTATTTGAAGAACTGAACAAAGGCATTGAAGTGTCTTCAGGCCCCATCAGTTGTATAGTAAACCGACTCATCTGGAGATTTAAAAATTGTATGGTTTTACTTTAATTTACCTTGATTTAGTTTACTTAACACAAGTTCAAATTATTGGTGTAATTGAATTTTTTGTTTAGTTATGTGATTTATGTTAAAGTTGACTTCAACTACCCCTTTGTAAGTTTGTTTTGTTTTAATAGACTGAACCTTTTCTTAGATCTCACACGTATCAAAGCTCAAGATAGATAATCTAAATCTTTTTATAAATCTGTGCAAGAACTCGTATTAATTAACCCGCACAGGTTAAATTGTTGTCTGATTGTGTGAGAACGTAAAATAAAACTGCTCTTAATGCTGAACTCAAAATCTTTCATATTCTTATATCAGGTGTGCTCTACTTCACCAGGTTAACGAGCACGTTGAGTCCACGAATTATTAACTAGATGTCTGGTGTTCGCGTATTACAATTGAGAACACAAAACGTCATGCGATATGTTTATATAACGGTAGAAACAAATACCTTATAATGGGTGCCTTCATCAGAGCTAGCTGGTCTAGGCTTTAAGTTGGTGGTAGAGTAGACAAAATACAATCCCGACTTGGCTACTTTAAGAAAGTCTCCTTGTATTTCCACACCTCTGAGGTAATTTTTACCTGGGAAATGATTACCAGCAGGGCTGTTTGTGATTGACAGCTGTGTTGGTTTGAGTCTGTCTACTGGATGAAGGGAAATTAAAATGTGTATACTGTACACCCTATAGAAGTGCAATATTAAAATATATTAAACCCGAAACGCCCGAGTTAGAAGCCTCAGGCAGTTGAGGCTCGCCAACTGGGAACAGCAACCCGTCTAGGAGAGAAAACTCCGAAATCAAACTGGAGTGAAGCTCTTTAGGCGATAGGATTACCAATCCTGGTTTCCTTTTTACAGCTCCTGCGACACTGCTGATTCCAAGCTGTAATGTAACGTCCTGTCCCTTGGGTTTATCAGGTGTGTGGAGAGGGGGGGGGGGGGCTGAAACATGGACAACATTTTGCTCTTCTCAACTTAGAACCCAGGATTTGTGCTTGGATTTCCAATGCGTAATCAACCAATTGTCTACTAGACTAGGGCGCTATAACTACAGCTAATTTTTTAAAAATATATTTATTTTGTTTTTGAGAAAAATGAAACTTTTTTCATTAAAAAAATAAAATAAAATAATAAAAATGCTATCAACTGCTCAAAATTTCAAACGCCAAAAATAGCAAGGCTAGAATCTACAATTGCCCAAAATTATTCTGCCAAAAAAGAGAAAATGAAATGGCCAAAGACATCCAACCCAGAACACAATAACATTGAAACAGTTCCTTTTAAAACATCATTACTGTGTTTGATGTTACCTCGATTGTCAGGTTTCGGCATGTTTAGTACCACGTGAGCGATCACTTTCTTGAACTTGTTAGGTTGACTGGAGTTGTCGATATCTTAGAGAAGAAATCAACTGTATAAATGACGAGCATAAATAAATAGCGTTAATTAAAATTGTAAACGATCTAGTTTAATTATACTAACACATATCTTAAATTTAGAAAACAATTCTTTGACTGATTTCAACTGAATGACAGCTTCCAAAAACAATTTCAAAACCCATTTTCTCTAGTGAAATTAAACAAAAAAAAAAAACAAGCCTAACCTTACCATCATGCTCTTGTGGAGTCAACTGAAAGTTACAAAATCAAAAGTTGCAGAAGTTCGTTTTATAATAGTACATCCTTCTCAGATGGAAAAATCAGCAACGAAAAAACAATATAATTACTTTTAAAAAATAATTACATAATTATGTCGGTTTTGAAAAACAATGAAAAATTTTAAAAAAGTAATACAATTTTTAAATTACAAAAATATACATAGAAATAGCAGAATTTCTATAGACAACTAATGCGAGTTCTCTGTTATTTAAATACTTATATTATAATGAACATTCTGTAATTCGAATTTAATTGGTATTGGCGGAAAAAAATGTTGCAATAAAGGAGTCATCCATAAATGACGTCACGCTTTTTTGGACGATTTGTACCTCCCTCCCTCCCCTCCGTCACACGTCGTCACAAAAAGCCAGACCCCCCCCCCTAAAACGACGTCACCCCTCAACCTACAACCCCCCTCAAAATTGCAGTTGAATTTTTTTGAAACATTGGTATCTTTCTAAAATCTTGTCTGAACTCTGTCAAAATAGAGTATTTTAATCAGTTTATATTACAATTTATTAAAACAGTTTTCTAAAACGCGAAAAAACGTCTAAAATTAGTTTTCTAACATTGCTTTTTTATAATGCAAAAGTGTGACGTCTGAACCCCCCTTCCCTTCCCCTCATCACACACCGTCACAAAATTACGGACCCCCCCCCCCCCTCCCCCCTACGAGTGTGACGTCATTTATGGACGACCCCTAAAAATAAATTTTAAAAACCTTGTAATTTAATAAACTTACCAAATTTATGATGGACGAACAGTATTTTCTAGAAAAGCAGTCATTATTTCTTCCTTGATCTCCTACATTTTCACATTCTTTCATTGAAATGTTGCTAGCTAGATCTAGACACTTCCATAGCATACTGGAACATGCTAAACGAGAATCGCATACTGTAGTGGACGGATCAGAATCATCAGACGCTGAAAGCAAGTACTTCACAAAAATAAGTCCCAGAAGGCTTAAACAAAATATGTTTAGGATAAAAGACGACACGCACAGGATTATTAAAGTCCGTCTATGAACGTTAAAAGGATGGGTCTTTATCTTTTTGGGCTTTACGTGGCGATGTGGGTTTGTTTGGTTGTGTGGTGGATCGGGTTGAAGAGAGTGGTATTGATGTTCAGAAGGCAATGTCGGCAATGGCCGGTTGCGGTACTGGTTTTCTGATGTTGAAGTCGGCAATGGATGATCTTCGGGGTTATGTTGTGATGTCGATGGAATTTGGTGATGAGTCTCTGTTGTTGAATTTAGTAACGGCCGATCTTGCTGTTGATTGTTCAATGAATCAGTGGAGAGTGTCCGGGTTGGTGGATGATTCAACAATGGCACATCCGGTAATGGCCGGCTCTGGATAGAAGCGGAGTAGAACGTGGAGCCGGATCTCAGAGAGAAGTCGCAGCTCTGGGAGCTGAGGATGGAGGAGATGGAACTCTCGCTGAACCCTCGCTGTCGGGCTGGGTGGAAGTAGTACTCACTCTCGGAGCGGAGGCTTCTCGTACGTCGGCCAGACATGTTTTGGGAGCTCAGTTACAATCTGTTTGATTCTTCAATGATAGCAGGACATCGGGATAAGCTCAGTTACAATCTGTTTGAACGATGGATTCTTCAATGATAGCCGGACATCGGGATAAGCTCAGTTACAATCTGTTTGAACGATGGATTCTTCAATGATAGCCGGACACAGGCTTAATTTGATTGGCGGCCAGACACAGTATCATGGTCAACTTAATTCGCGGCCATACATTGTAATAAACTCAGTTTGAATAGTAAATTGAAAGCGTAGTAACTTCAATATGATAAGCTCCAGGAAATATACATAAAGCTTAGTTTGAAGAGAGCTAGCCTTATTAATAAGCTTACTGTGGTTGGTGGTGACTTGACATGGTAATAAGTTCAGTTCATAGTAGTAACATAGTGACAATTTACATTTGTAGCAAAGATGCCTTGTTCATAGGCCTTTGACAAACTATTTAGTTCATCTAGATCTAGTAAATGTTTGAACATAAGCTTCAATAACAGAATACTAACTTAGCATTATTTGTTTATTTTCTCCATACTACGAGATTATATGGCCCAGATTATACTTTTTATGTGTGCTAGATTAGACAACCTATGTTGTAAGTTTTTAAAAATAGCGTCGATTATTGACGTTTATAGCACAACTCAAATTCAGGTTTGTTTATTAAAATCCACGAGAAATGTATTGACATTTTCGTAATACTTAACTCTAGAACGTCAGAGTAATCAAAACAACAATTGTTACTTAGAAATATTTGGTAGACGGTATAGTCAATTCACTGTTTGATTGTACTTTAAATACGCGTAACAATTAGAATATCTCAAACTCCACAATTTTAGAATCGATCAAACAAAAAGCCAACAAGAACGCATCATTTAATACTTTATATATCGAGAATAACAAATCTTCCATATAACATAAACAAAACACAATTTAAAATCAACATCATTGAATTAGAATATGAACACACAATTGTAATAATTTTAGAGTACACATACATCAATCAGCTGACTAAAGACAACATAAAGTTATGCTGGCCAGTCGAGATTATGAGTCAGACACATATCATATTACGTCACGATAACAAAGGTCAACGCTTTGTTTACTAGTGTTGAACTCTAGGGTCGATTACGATAACGTATCTAATTTTTTTTTAACTTGGCAGAGAGTACAACATATTTTACATTTTATTTGTTGATAGCATGAACTATAACATTGTGTAAACGTGTTTGTAAACAAACTAACAATAACATTACATAATTTAAAAAAAAAACAGTTATCAAGCATTCAATGCATGGTAAAAATGTAAGAATTTACCATATAAAATGCATACACTTTGTTACAAAATGTGCCATGCCGATTCACGTGATTACCGTATGGACTGACCACAGAGACACGAATGACGTCAAACGGTAATCACGTGATGCGTTATATAAACTGGTTCACGTAACCTAAATTATTATTTTGTGCGATATCTGCTTCATAGTAAGCACTAACTCAACAACTGCCTATATTGGTTAATCAATACATATATATATATATATATATATATATATATATATATATATATATATATATATATATATATATATATATATGTGTGTGTGTGTGTGTGTGTGTGTATATATATGTATGAATGAGTGTGTTTGTATACATATTATATACTAGGATATCAGGATTATCTTTCAAATTATGATAAACTCTAACTTTATTCATATCCGCTTCCGAAAGTCGAAAAAAATTGCTTCAGATGCGGTGTAGAATAAAATTTGATATTCATTACTTTTATCATAATACAACTACATAAGGCAGTTCAAGCTTTGTTGTAGCGTTTTGAAAGAAAATGGTGTTAATTAAAGAATTAAATGTATGCAGTTTTGTTTTTATTCAAAAAATTAATATACGTACAATAAATTACAATTTTAATATAAAAAGTATGCTGCAGTTGGTCTAAGTTCTAAAGGACGGAATGTTTAGTAGATTTAGTGAGTTCTAAGGGCGCCAAGTCTAAATCTAAAATGTACTTGAGATCTTAGCTAACGTTTATGTGGCAAGCAGCATAGGAGCTAAACTTTCACAATGTATTAACAGTTTTGTGGAGACGCTGTTAATATATTGTCGGATATTGTCTAGAGAAGGTGGAGCGGTAGAGAGCTAGACTACTAACCCGAGAGTCTCGAGTTCGAATCCGAGTTCAATTCAGTGGAACGTCCCTGAGTCCACCCAGCTCTGATGAGTAACTAACTTACGTTAGGGAAACAAAGGCGGCTGAGTATAGTGCTGACCACACTATCCCTTCATATGCCGAGGTCAAGGAATCAGATGAACTCTACTTCATCTGCCCCATGTGTCTTGGGCACGAACGGGATTAAGAGAGAGAGTAAGAGAAGAGAGAAGACGCTGTTGTCAGATATTGTCTATAGAAGGTGTAGCTACTATACATCGTTGTAAAGATGCAGATACTTTCTAGGCTAAACACAGATACTGTCTTATGAGTGTGATATTTATTTGTAGTAGAAATGTGCGTAGAATGTGCAGAAACTGTCCAGGAAGTGTGCGACATTTTCTACTGAATATGTAAAACATGTAAATAAAATACGATTGTAGGAAAGCACAATGAGTTACATTTTATACATATAGTCAGGCATGAAGGGTCAAATTCAACACATTAACTTTGCGTCCCTGTCTCTAAACAACCAATAACTTCATTGAAAACACACAACGTCCATCAATCTATATTGAGACATACAACAGTGTACATGTAATGTAAAGATTTAACAACTCATCTATAACCATTCTATCAAAAACATCCTTCTTTTATCACTTTTAAACAAAATAAATCGCTTACGAAGCCAGTAATTACAGTAGCCTTCTTCAAATAAATTCGTAATCAATGTCAAGTAGGCAAACATAAATGTCATCACTCAGGATTGTATTGAGATCAGGTGGAATAACTCTAGCTGTGTTTATTATTTTAGTTTTATGCTGCTTTCTTGTCTCCCTTTTGTCCCCTTTTATTAAATTGCTGCCTTGTAACAAAAAGGTAGATAACTGTGGAAGGAAAAATACGAATAATAGATTAATGCCATTGTCTCTGTTGGAAGACAAATAACATCTCATGCAAAAAAAAAAAAATTCATAAAAAAACCATTACCGTAGGCAGAAAAAAATGTTTAAAATCAAGAATTAAAACTTTATGAAA